CTGGCGTAAGGCCAATGTGGGGCCAATATTTAAAAAGGGGTCAAAATCTTTACCAAGTAATTATGCACCTGTTAGTGTAACTTCTCTAGTTGGGAAGATAATGGAGAGTTTAATAAAAGATCACAGAGAGGAGTTCTTGCTGGAAAAAATATTTTAAGCAACAGACATCATGGAGTCATGAAAGACAGAAGTTGTCACACAAATCTGATTTCTTTTTATGAGGAGGTGAGCAAAACCTTAGACAGAGGGGGGTGGCGGTGGACGTGGTATACTTGGACAGAGGGGTGGCGGGGGACGTGGTATACTTGGACAGAGGGGTGGCGGTGGACGTGGTATACTTGGACAGAGGGGAGGGCGGTGGACGTGGTATACTTGGACAGAGGGGTGGCGGTGGACGTGGTATACTTGGACAGAGGGGTGGCGGTGGGCGTGGTATACTTGGACAGAGGGGTGGCGGTGGACGTGGTATACTTGGACAGAGGGGTGGCGGTGGACGTGGTATACTTGGACAGAGGGTGGCGGTGGACGTGGTATACTTGGACAGAGGGGTGGCGGTGGACGTGGTATACTTGGACAGAGGGGTGGCGGTGGACGTGGTATACTTGGACAGAGGGGTGGCGGCGGACGCGGTATACTTGGACAGAGGGGTGGCGGCGGACGCGGTATACTTGGACAGAGGGGTGGCGGCGGACGCGGTATACTTGGACAGAGGGGGTGGCGGTGGACGTGGTATACCTGGACAGAGGGGTGGCGGTGGACGTGGTATACTTGGACAGAGGGGTGGCGGTGGACGTGGTATACTTGGACAGAGGGGGTGGCGGCGGACGTGGTATACTTGGACAGAGGGGGTGGCGGTGGACGTGGTATACTTGGACAGAGGGGGTGGCGGTGGACGTGGTATACTTGGACAGAGGGGTGGCGGTGGACGTGGTATACTTGGACAGAGGGGGTGGCGGTGGACGTGGTATACTTGGACAGAGGGGTGGCGGTGGACGTGGTATACTTGGATTTTGCTAAAGCGTTTGACACAGTTCCCCACACAGAGCTAATGTGTAAGGTAAAGTCTACAGGCTGGAAAAATCTGTATGTAAATGGATAGAAAACTGGCTAATGGTATTCAGAGAGTAGTAGTTAATGATTCATACTCTGAATTGTCTCGGGGTGTCAGTGGGGTACCCCAAGGTTCAGTGTTATCAGTGGGGTACCCCAAGGTTCAGTGTTATCAGTGGGGTACCCCAAGGTTCAGTGTTATTAGTGGGGTACCCCAAGGTTCAGTGTTATCAGTGGGGTACCCCAAGGTTCAGCGTTATCAGTGGGGTACCCCAAGGTTCAGCGTTGTCAGTGGGGTACCCCAAGGTTCAGTGTTATCAGTGGTGTACCCCAAGGTTCAGTGTTGTCAGTGGTGTACCCCAAGGTTCAGTGTTGGGACCCTTACTTTTTAATATATTTATAGACAATATCGGGTCTGGGATTATAATTCCCATCTCAGTGGAGAGAGAGATCATTTCCCCCGATACAAATCATTAGTAACACCTCATCTGGAATATGCAGTTCAGTTTTGGGCACCAATTCACAATGTGTGTAGGTAGGGGGTCAGTAGCTGATGGACTGGGAGGAGGGGGGTTAGGTGGTCAGTATGTAGGTGGTTAGGTAGGTAAATAGCTGAAAAACTCTCATCTCTCCTTGGATGGAAGAAGGGTGTAAGTAGTAGGCTGCTCCTCAGATGGATGGGGGGGGGGGGGGGGGTAGGTGAACGCTTTGTCACCTCTCCTCAAATGGAAAGGGGGTATGTATATACTGTATGTAGTTGATTGGTAGGTGGGTGCTCTCTTACTTCTCAGGTGGTTCAATGGGAGGTCAGGTAGGTAGTAAGTTAGTGGGTTGGTATGTGGGCACTCTCAACTCTCCTCAGATGGAAAAGCGGTATTTAAGTAGGTGGCGGTAGGTAGTTGGTCAGTAGGTGGTCTTTCACCTCTCCTCAGATGAAAAGGGGGTAGGTACATATGTAGTTTGTTAGTAGGTGAGCGTTTTCTCAACTTTCCTCAGATGGACTGAAGGGAGGTCAGGTAGGTAGTAAGCTAGTTGGTCAGTAGGCACTCTCACACCATACCTAGGATGGAAAGGGTGTAAGTAGGTAGGTGGTTTGTCGGTAGGTGGCCACTCTCAACTCTCCTCAGATTGAGTGAAGAGAGGTCAGGTGGGTAGAGTTGGTGGGTACTCTATAAACTCTCCTCAAATAGAAAGCAGGTAAGAAGGTAGGTAGTCTGTAAGTGGTCTTCCACCTCTCCTCAGATGGAAGGGGGATCAGGTAGGTTGCAAGCTGGTCGGTAGATAGGTGTTCTTTCACCAAAAAGAGGGGGTTAGGTAGGTATTTGGATGCTCTCTCACACCACTCCTCAGATGTAGAGTCAGATAGGTAGTTGGTTGGTAGGTAGGCACTCTGTCACCTCTCATCAGACAGACCGAAGGGAAGTCAGGTAGGTGGTAAGCTAGTTGGCCAGTAGGTAGGAAGGTGCTCTCTCACCTCTCCTAGGATGGAAAGGGGATACGTAGGTGGGTGGTTGGTCAGTAGGTGGGCACTCTCTCACTTCTCTTCAGATGGAGTGAAGAGAGGTCAGGTAGGTGAAGTTGGTGGGTAGGTGGGCACTCTCTTAACTCTTCTCAAATAGAAAGCAGGTAAAGAAGATAAGTAGTCTGTAAGTGGTCTCCTAGGTAGGCAAGTTAGTGAGTTGGTAGGTGGGCACTTTCTCACTGCTCAGATAGATTGAGGTCAAGTTAGGTGGTAAGCTAGTTGGCCAGTAGGTAGGTGCTCTCCCGCCTTTTCTAGGATGGAAAGGAGGTAAGTAGGTAGGTAGTTTGTCGGTAGGTGGCCACTCTCTCACCTCTCAACAGATGGAATGAAGGGAAGTGAGGTAGGTAGTAAGTTAGTTGGTCATTAGGTAGGTAGGTGCTCTCCTAGGACGGAAAGGGGGTACGTAGGTGGGTGGTTGGTCAGTACATGGGCACTCTCTAACAACTTTAAAGATGGACCGTCAGGTAGGTAGTAAGAGTGGGTTGGTACAGGTATGGACCGTAGAGAGGTCAGTAGGTAGTTAGTGGGTCGGTATGTGGGCACTCTCTCACCTCTAAGATGGACCGTAGAGAGGTCAGGGGTAGTAAGTTAGTGGGTCGGTATGGCACTCTCTCACCTCTAAGATGGACCGTAGAGAGGTCAGGTAGGTAGTAAGTTAGTGGGTCGGTATGTGGGCACTCTCTCACCTCTAAGATGGACCGTAGAGAGGTCAGGTAGGTAGTAAGTTAGTGGGTCGGTATGTGGGCACTCTCTCACCTCTTCTCAGATGGATTGAGGTCAGGTTAGGTCATAAGCTAGTTGGCCAGTAGGTAGGTAGGCATTCTCTCATTTCCTAGGATGGAAAAGGGGATAAGTAGGTAGGTAGTTTGTTGGTAGGTGACCACTCTCTCACCTCTCCTCAGATGGAGTGAAGAAAGGTCAGGTAGGTAGTGTTGGTGGGTACTCTCTCAACTCTCCTCAAATAGAAAGCAGGTAAGAAGGTAGGTAGTTAGTCTGCAAGTGGTCTCCCGCCTTTCTTCAGATGGAAGGGGGATCAGGTAGGTTGCAAGCTGGTCGGTAGATAGGTGTTCCTTCACCAGGTATTTGGATGCTCTCACCTCTCATCAGGTGTAGAGGTCAGATAGGTAGTTGGTCGGTAGGTAGGTGGGCACTCTCTCACCTCTCATCAGATGGACTGAAGGGAAGTCAGGTTAGGTGGTAAGTTAGTTGGCCAGTAGGTAGGTAGGCGCTCTCACCTTTCCTAGGACGGAAAGGAGGTAAGTAGGTAGGTGGTTGGTCAGTACGTTGGCACCCTCTCCACTCACCTCTGCTAAGATGGACTGTACGGAGGCCAGGTAGCTAGTAAGTCAGTAGGTGGGCACTCTCTCAACTCTCAGATGGACTGCACAGGAAGGTCAGGTAGGTAGGCTGTAAGTTAGTTGGTAGGTGGGCGCTCGCTCCCCTCTTCTCAGACAGAAAGGGGGGTAAGTAGGCAAGGCAGGTAGGTAGACGCGCTCTCAACTCTCAGATGGACTGCAGGAAGGTCAGGTAGGTAGGCTGTAAGTTAGTTGGTAGGTGGGTGCTCGCTCCCCTCTTCTCAGACAGAAAGGGGGTAAGTAGGCAAGGCAGGTAGGTAGACGCGCTCTCAACTCTCAGATGGACTGCAGGAAGGTCAGGTAGGTAGGCTGTAAGTTAGTTGGTCGGTAGGTGGGCACTCTCTCAACTTTTCTCAGACACTGAAGGTCAGGTAGGTAGGTGGTAAGTTAGTTGGTCGGTAGGTGGCGCTCGCAAGGACAGAAAGGGGGTAAGTAGCAAGGCAGGTAGGTGGGCACGCTCTCACCTTTCCTCAGTTGCAATGAAGGCAGGTAGGCGGTAAGTTGGTAGGTAGGTGGGCACTCTCTTAACTTTCTCAGATGGACTGCAGGAAGGTCAGGTAGGTAGTAGGTAGATACTCTCTGACCTCTCCTAAGACAGAAAGGGGGTAAGCAGGTAGGTAGCTGGTTGGTAGGTGGACTCTCACTTCTCCTCAGATGGCAGGGGGGTAGATAGGTGTTCCCTCACCAAGAAGAGGGGGTAGGTAGGTATGTTGACACACACTCACCTCAGATGTAATAGGGATAAGGTGGGTAGGTGGACTCTCCCCTCGCCTCAGGTAGGTAGATGGTGGTAGGTGGACTCTCCTCAGGTAGATTTTGTTCGGTAAGTGCCCTCTCACATTCCCCGCTTCCGACTTGACAGGATGATGACATCTGATCAATGGGCGGAGACAGCACTGAGCCCGGCGTGAAGGAGGAGTCTGCTCATGCGTACGATCTCCAGTTGTAGCGTGTCTGTGCGCAGGCGCGGGAGGTTCCACAGTGCGCATGCTCGGTGTATCCCATGCCGGTTTTAGCACATGCGCGGCTAATCGATCTTCTCGTTGGATTGTCGGTGAGAAGACCCCGGGAAGATGGCGGAGCAAGTGCAGGGTTTTATGTGAGCAGCTAGTGAGGGCCGTCACCATCATCATGGAGCCCGGCTCCACCCAGGAGCATCGACTGGAGGCCCTGAGGGTGAGGATTACACTGGGAGTACCAAGCGTGGAAGGGGGGATACTGGGAGGAGAGAGTGGAAGGGGGGGATACTGGGAGGAGAGAGTGGAAGGGGGGGATACTGGGAGAAGAGTGTGGAGGGAGGCAGGGGGGGGGGATACTGGGAGAAGAGTGTGGAGGAAGGGGATACTGGGAGAAGAGTGTGTGAGGGGGGGGGGGGGGGATACTGGGAGAAGAAGAGGTGGAAGGGGGGGGGGGGGGGATACTGGGAGAAGAGTGTGTGAAGGGGGGGGGATACTGGGAGAAGAGTGTGTTGAAGGGGGGGGATACTGGGAGAAGAGAGTGTGGAAGGGGGGGATACTGGGAGAAGAGTGTGTGAGGAAAGGGGGGGGGGGGATACTGGGAGAAGAGTGTGTGGAAGGGGGGGGGGAGATACTGGGGGAGAGAGAGTGTGGAGTGTGGAAGGGGGGGATACTGGGAGAAGAGTGTGTGAGGAAGGGGGGGGGGATACTGGGAGAAGAGAGTGGAAGGGGGGGGATACTGGGAGAAGGAGAGAGTGTGGAAGGGGGGGGGGGATACTGGGAGAAGAGTGTGGAAGGGGGGGGGATATTGGGAGAAGAGAGTGGAAGGGGGGGGGGGATACTGGGAGAAGAGAGTGAGGAAGGGAAGGGGGGGGGGGAAGGATACTGGGAGAGGGGGGGAGAGTGTGGAGAGGAAGGGGGGGGGGGATACTGGGAGAGAAGAGTGTGGAAGGGGGGGGGGATACTGGGAGAAGAGAGTGTGGAAGGGGGGGGATACTGGGAGAAGAGTGTGGAGGGGGGGGATACTGGGAGAAGAGTGTGGGAAGGGGGGGGGATACTGGGAGAAGAGAGTGTGGAGGAAGGGGGGGGGGATACTGGGAGAAGAGAGTGTGGAAGGGGGGGGGATACTGGGAGAAGAGTGTGGAAGGGGGGGGGGGGGATACTGGGGAGAAGAGTGTGGAAGGGGGGGGGATACTGGGGGAGAGTGTGGAAAGGGGGTGTGGAAGAGTGTGGGAAGGGGGGGGATACTGGGAGAAGAGAGTGTGGAAGGGGGGGGATACTGGGAGAAGAGAGTGTGGAAGGGGGGGGGGGATACTGGGAGAAGAGAGTGTGGAAGAGGGGGGGGATACTGGGAGAAGAGAGTGTGGAATGGGGGGGGGGGATACTGGGAGAAGAGAGTGTGGAAGGGGGGGGATACTGGGAGAGAGAGTGTGGAAGGGGGGGGATACTGGGAGAAGAGTGTGGAAGGGGGGGGGATACTGGGGAGAAGAGTGTGGAAGGGGGGGGGGGGATACTGGGAGAAGAGTGTGGTTGGAGGGGGGGATACTGGGAGAAAGAGAGTGTGGAAGATGGGGGGGGATACTGGGAGAAGAGTGTGGAAGGGGGGGGGGATACTGGGGAGAAAGAGTGTGGAAGGGGGGGGGGATACTGGGAGAAGAGTGTTTGTGGAAGGGGGGGGGATACTGGGAGAAGAGAGTGTGGAAGGGGGGGGGATACTGGGAGAAGAGAGTGTGGAAGGGGGGGGGGATACTGGGAGAAGAGAGTGTGGAAGGGGGGGGGGATACTGGGAGAAGAGTTGAGGAGGAAGGGGGGGGGATACTGGGAGAAGAGAGTGTGGAGGAATGGGGGGGGGGTACTGGGAGTAGAGTGTGGAAGGGGGGGGGGGATACTGGGAGAAGAGAGTGTGGAAGGGGGGGGGATACTGGAGAGAAGAGAGTGTGGGAGGGGGGGGGGATACTGGGAGAAGAGAGTGTGGAGTGGGGGGGGGGATACTGGGAGAAGTGGAGTGGGGGGGGGGGGGGGATACTGGGAGAAGAGAGTGTGGAAGGGGGGGGATACTGGGAGAAGAGAGTGTGGAGGGGGGGGGGGATACTGGGAGAAGAGAGTGTGGAGGGGGGGGGGATACTGGGAGAGAGAGAGTGGGAAGGGGGGGGATACTGGGAGAAGAGAGTGTGGAAGGGGGGGGGATACTGGGAGAAGAGTGTGGAAGGGGGGGGGGGATACTGGGAGAGAGAGAGTGGAAGGGGGGGGGGGATACTGGGAGAAAGGAGAGGTGTTGAGGGGGGGAGGGATACTGGGGAGAGGTGGAGGGGGGGGGATACTCGGGAGAAGAGTGTGTGGAGGGGGGGGGATACTGGGAGAAGAGAGTGTGGAGGGGGGGGGGGTTACTGGAGAAGAGTGGGATGGGAAGGGGGGGCATCATACTGGGAGAGGAGTGTGGAGGAACGGGGGGATACATACTGGGGAAGAGGAGTGTGGAGGAAAGGGGGGGGATACTGGGAGAAGAGAGTGTGTAGGATGGAGGGATACTGGAGTGTGGAGGGGGGGGGGGGGGGATAACTGGGAGGTACAGAGTAGGATGGGGATATGGTTGTAGTGGGAGAGGGTGGGTGAAGGGGTACCAGGATTTGCAGTGTGTGGGAGGGGGGTTGTACTGAGGATGTAGTGGTATAAAGGAGGGTGATTCTAGGGATACAAAGTTAAGGCAGCAGAGATGGATTCCGCAATGCTTGCACTTGGTGGTGCCAGGGCAGCGGGTTAGTGTGGTGCAGGGTGGCAGGTGGTGCAGGGCAGAAGGGTGGTGTGGTGCAGGGCAGCGGGTGGTGCAGGGCAGAGGGTGGTGTGGTGCAGGGCAGCGGGTGGTGCAGGGCAGCGGGTGTGTCGGTGCAGGCAGAGGGTTGGGTGGTGCAGGGCAGAGGGTGGGTGGTGCAGGGCAGCGGGGGTGGTGCAGGGCAGCGGGTGGTGTGGTGCAGGCCAGCGGGTGGTGCAGGGCAGCAGTAAGTATTCTGTGTGGAAATCTCCTCCTCACCTCTCGTATCTCTCCATGTAGTTCTGTGAAGGCTTCAAGGAAACGTGCCCCATGTGTGTGCCCTGCGGTCTGCAGCTGGCAGAGAAGACTCAGCCACCCGTCATCAGGCACTTTGGTCTGCAGGTTTTAGAGCATGTAGTCAAGTAAGGAACATCTCCTGCATGGGGCCGGGTCAGTGTGGGGGTGTCCAGGATTCATTGTTCATGGTGTGGTGAATGGTGTGTTTTACAGCCGGTGCAGTGTGTATGCTGTTGAGGATTTGGGTTGTGCACCTGCGTTGCGTTCACCTCGGGTTCTGCATGAGTGGCGGAGTGTTGCAGAGCGCGTGTCGGCAGCCGGTAGATTAGACAGCACTGAATTTGAGGTTTGCATGGAAGCTGCCAATCTTGTCGTTCATGGCTGGGTGAGTCCCCTCTCACTCAGGAAACACCCGCATACAATCCTCCTAACAGGTTTATCATAAAACGTTTTTTGTCTAGGAGGTTTTTTTTTATTTGTATTTTTTTTTTTTTTTTTTTTTTTAAGTTAGAACAGAAAAGAAATAGCTGGGATCCTGTCTGACACTCACCATATCATTGGTGTTACATTTCCGGTGTGTAGAGAAGTATAAAATACATTGTCATTGCTGAGTGATTCAAGACCCTGAAGCAGAACTCCAGCCAAAAAATAGGGCCTCATTCACAAGGATGCTTAGTAGCTCCTATGTGCTGAGGTGTAAGGCCCCATGTACCCACGGGGACACTTCTGAACCATGGAAACTGACTGCTGGAAAATGTAGGTTAAACACGTTCGTCTGTTTAGCCGCGTTTGCATAACGCGTTTATGTGCGTTTGCGTTTAGAATAGTTTTTTAACCATTAGCCGCCCGGCCAATGGCCGTTTGGCGGCGCTGTTTGGCTTTCGCGCCGTGCCACGCCAATTTTGCAGCCGGCCCCCCGCAACATGCGCCAGTTGCAGCTCCCCCCCGAGCCCCCTCTCACACCCCGCAAAGACGCTTTAGCTTTCCGGGTGCACGCCATTTGGCGCGCTCCCGCACATGCGCAGTTGCAGTAAGCCGCGCAGCGGCGCGATCTGTCACCGGCCGTGTGTACCTCAGACACGGCCGATGACAGATCTGAGCACCGGCCCCCGTTGCTGGTACCATGTGACCTGCTGTGACCAATCACAGCAGGTCACATGACAGTTGTATACAATGGATGGCTTCATTCATGTCATCCATTGTATACTAGTGCCACTAGCTGTGAATGGTCACAGCTAATCACATGCACATGTCATGTGATTAGCTGTGACCAAATCACAGCTAAGCACAAAAAAAAAAAAAAAAACCCTGAATGAATCGATTTCATTCAGGTAAATGCTTGCTTATAGCAAAGTAATTCTTTGCTATAAGCAAATTGTGTAAAAAAAAAAAAGTACTGATCACTTCCCCAAAGTAGTACAATGTTACTATGATAACATTGTACTACTTTGGTCATAGTAAAATATGAAAAAAATCTTAAAAAAAAAAAAAATAATGTAATAAAAAATTAAAAATAACTAAAAAAAAAAAAATATATATATATATATTCCAGTGACCAGTCAGTGTCCCTGATCACCGCCATGCCAGTTATATGATGACGCTGTACTGCACTGGTGACAGTATGTAAAAAAAAAAAATTGTGAAAATAATTTTTTCATTTTTCCGAAAAATTATGACAAAAAAAATACAACTTCAAAAAAAAACTCGCCATGCCCTCTTATGAAGTACGTCGGACTGTCTACTCTGCAAAAAATGGGGTCATTTGGGGATATCTGTACCGTCCATTTGGGGGATATCTGTACTATTCTGACATTCTTGGACCTCAAGAAATTAGATTGGCTGTCAGTACTTCAGGATTGATCAATATTCAGATCTATACTCATAGTTTGTGAACTCTATAACTTTCCTACAAACTAAATTAAATACATCCTAATTTGGGTTATTTTCACCAAAAGACATGTAGCAGAATACATCTCGGCCTAAAATTTATGAAGAACAATTATTTATTTGTAAACTTTTATAACAGAAACAAAGAAAAAACGTGTTTTTTTTTTTTTTTTTTTCTCAAAATTTTTGGTCTTTTTTTGTTAATTTAGCAAAAAATAAAAACCCCAGCAGTGAATTAAATACCACCAAAAGAAAAGCTCTAGTTGTGTGAAGAAAATTATAAAATTTTAGTTTGGGTACAATGTTGTATGACCGCGCAATTGTCATTCAAAGTGTGAGGTGGAGAGTGCTGAAACGTGAAAAATGGCCTGGGGCAGGAAGGGGGTAAAATTGCCCGGTATTGAAAACGGTTAAAGAAAAGCACAGGAAAACCTCCCAAATACCCAGAATGCACTGAAAAGTGGTAAATTATTAACTATTTCAGAGAAATACAGAGAGTAGAAGCAGAGACAGCAGTATGTGTTGGATTAGCTTAGGTGTGAGTTGCTCATTAACATTTCTTTTGTTTCCAAGGGCGGGAAAGGTGTCTGGTGGAGGGGTCATTAAGGCCACCTGGCAGGGGTCTTCATGAGGAATTTGAGGTGTGGTCATCAACATATCTTTTGAAGGGTGGGAGAGGTCTGAGGTGTGAATGGTCATTAACATATCTTTTGTTTCCAAGGGGCGGGAGAGGTCTGAGGTGTGAATATGGTCATTACCAAATGTTTTGGGAGAGGTCTGAGGTGTACCAAATCTTTTGTTTCCAAGGGTGGGAGAGGTCTGAGGTGTTAATGGTCATTACCATATCTTTTGTTTCCAAGGGTGGGAGAGGTCTGAGTTGTGAATTGGTCATTACGATGTGTGACAAGCTTGGTAGAAACATCCTGTCTTCAGTGTTTTGTCCATCTGAGTACTGGGGAAAAACGCTTTGCATGCATTTTTCATGATGGAAAAAAGGCTATGGACATCATTGGGAGCTGGAAGAGTTAAAAAAAAAAATTTTCAGACACAAACGCTTATAAACGCATTTAGCCGCGTTTACAAGCGTTTTGCGTTTTGAACCGCTGATAAAATCGACTGCTGAAAGCAAGTTTCCTGCGTTCAAAAAAAACAACTGTAGACTCAAATGCCTGTAAATGACGATGTGTAAACACGGACACATAGGAAAACATTAGGGAGAGTTCAGGGGCTGCTGAAAAAAAACAGCAGAACAGCTCCTAAACGTGAGTTTATCAGCTGCAGTGTACATGAGCCCTAAATCCCTCTGTTTTGTGGTGCCCTGGTTGCTGCATGCAGCCACCAATATGATGTGAATGGCTGTTCTCAGGTAAATGATGATGGCTTCTGCATCAGCATTTACTAACACATGCCTGTACAGCTCTTCTTTCCTAAACCCGAAAGTGGTGCATTATGGTAGAAGCTCCGTACACACGTGCGGGAAAGCCCTTTAAGCAGTTGAGGGCACTTGTGTACACACCCAAAAAAAAATAACATATTCAATGTACGTAACACATCCAGTCCTTTTTCCTTGTTTCATTGTCCACCCTCGCAGTTGCTGTGTAAATATAGTAGCTGCTGTCAAAGAGAAAAAAAAAACACTGTTCAGACTGGGAAAAATAAGTACAAATTAACATTGTTTATAAACATTGTTCAGAGGGAGAGAGATACAGAGCAACATTGTTTGTAACTGCTTCTCTACTGCCCCATAGCAGAAATACTACTACAGGGTGGGCACGGGTGCGCAAAATCATGTGTATATATTCTGGGTAGCAGGTTGCACACCCTACCAGTGCCGCCATTTGTGGCCGCGGCTGTCAATCGCCGGGTCCCAGATGGTAATTACTCGCAAGTGCCCAGTGATATCTGAGGATCTCCGACTGGGAGGAGGACTGTTTTTTTTTTTTTTTTTTTTTTTTTTTTAATGAAGTTCTCCTCCTTGTCAGTTCGGGCACACTGCTTTGGATAGAGAAAAACAAAATGGAGGGCGCACCGGGGGTAATGCACAAGGCCAGTGCGCCCTCTGTTTTGTTTTTCTTTATTAGTACTTTTGGACTCCCCGATTCTTTGAGGGCAGCAAGGCGTGCGTATTCCAAGACATTCATTGTGTGGTCCATGTGACATAGAGTCCATCCCTAAGCTCAGGAGTATTTGGATTTTCCACTTTCACAACACTGCTTTGTATGGCTGTGCACAGCCATCCAAAGCAGTGTGATTACTGTGAAGCACACTGACACAGCCCCCTAGTAAAACACATCCAGCACACGGTTTACCCTTTGATTGCCCTTATGTTAACCCCTTCCTGCCCAATGTCATTAGTACAGTGTCAGTGCTTTTTTTTTTTTTGTTGTACTGATCACTGTAATGGTGTCAGTGACATCAAGTCAGTCCCCCCCCCCCCCCCCCCCCCACCCCAGTGGCAGAATGTCCTCCACAGTCCCACTATAAGTTGCTGATCACCGCCTTTACTAGTAAAAATGTTTAAAAATATCCTAGTATATATACCGCCATTTGTAAACGCTATAACGTTCCCGTAAACCAATTAATTTACACGTATTGGGATTTTTTAGCAAAGACATTGTTATTGTTATTATTATAGTACAGGACTTTAATTATTATTATACAGGATATTTATAGTTATATTATTATTATTATTATACAGGATTTATATATTATTATTATTATACAGGATTTATATTATATTATTGATTTATTATACAGGAGTGTTTTATTTATTATTATTATTATACAGGATTTATTTAATTATTATTATACAGGATTTATTTTATTATTATTATACAGGATTTATATAATATTATTATTATTATTATATAACAGGATTTATATATTATTATTATTATTATTATACAGGATTTATGGCGCCAACAGTTTGCTCAGCGCTTTACAATATAACGGGAGACAATACAGCAACAATACAGTTCAATACAAGAGGGATAGGAGGGCCTGGATCCTGGAGCTTACAATCTAGGACATGGGAGCGGGAATACATTTTGGCATAAATTAATGATGAAATTAGATTTTTTAAAATTTTTTTTTACTGGATATGTTTAATAGTAAAAAAGTCAAAAATATGTCAGTTTTTTTGTTTTTTTTTTTTTTTTTCAGCACAAAATATAAAAAACCGCGCAGGCAATCAAATACCACCAAAATCAAGCTCAATTTGTGGGAAAAAAGGGACGTAAATTTCATTTAGGTGCAGCGTTGCATGCGCATTTTTCAGTTAAAGTATCGTAGCTCCATAACGCTGAAAAATGGCTTGGTCAGGAAGGGGGGTAAATCCTCAGGAGTGGCCAGTGGTTAAACATTGTTTAGACAGGAGATATACTGAGTAACAATATTAATAAACATTGTTCAGAGGGAGAAATACAGAGTAACATTGTTTATAAACATTGTTCAGACAGGAGAGAGATACAAAGTAACATTGCTTACAAACATTGTCCAGACATCAGATAGGGAGAGATACAAAGTAACATTGTTTGTAAACATCATTCAGATGTGAAATAGATACAAACAATGTTACTTTGTATCTCTCCCTATCTCCTGTCTGGACAATGTTTGTAAGCAATGTTACTTTGTAACATCATTCAGATGGGAAATAGATACAAAGGTAACATTGTTTATAAACTTTGTTCAGACAGAAGATAGATACAAAGTAAAAATTATGTGTAAACATTACTCAGAGGAGAGATGGAGAGATACAAAGTAACATTGTTTATAAACATTGATCAGATGGGAAATAGATTCAAAGAAACATTGTTATATGTCCTCTGTTTCATTCATCTGAAGATCAAACAAATGATCTTCAGATGATGTCAGGTAAAGCAACCTGACCAGTGAAAATTTCTGGCAGGATCAACAGGTATGCTTTTTGCACTTATAAAACAGGTATAACACAATGGGGGAGTTTACTAAAGCTGGAGCACTCAATCTGGTGCAGCTGTGCATGGCAGCCAATCAGCTTCTAACTTCAGCTTGTTCAATTAAGCTTTGGCAATAAAACCTGGAAGCTGATTGGTTTCTATGCAGTAGTGAACCTGATTTTGCACTCTCCAGCTTCAGTAAAAAAAAACCCCCAATGCTTCTAATTGGATATTCAATAGACCAGAAGGGAGCAAATTCTGTTAGCAGGCACATGCAATTTAACCACCTGCCCTCCAGAGGGGGTTCCTGACCAGGCCATTTCTTGTGTTACGGCGCTGCGTTACTTTAACTGACAATTGCGCGGTCATGCAACGCTGCATCCAAATTAATTTTTTCCCATGAATAGAGATTTCCTTCGGTGGTATTTGCACTTTAAAAAAAAAAAAAAAACAACAATTTTGAGAAAAAAAAAATCTATATTTTTGACTTTTGCTATAAAACATGTCCAGTAAAAAAATTTTAAAAATCTAATTTTGTCATGAATATATTCTTCATGTCTTTGCTAGAACAAATCCCAATATCTGTAAATTAATTGGTTTACGTAAAAGTTATAGCGTTTCCAAATGGCGGTATACATACTGGGATTTTTTTTATTTTTATTTTTACTAGTAATGGCGGCGATCAGCGACTTATAGCGGGACTGCGGCGGGCATTCTGACACTGGGGGGGAACTGACTGGGTGTCACTGTCATCCCCAGTGACACCAATACAGTGATCAGTGCTAACACAGTGTCCTGTGTTAGTGCTTCACTGTAAGCACACTGCTATGCATGGCCATGCAAAGCTGTGTGCAGGAACTGACGGGAGAGATATGTAATGTTTACAAACAGTTCTCCCAATTCCCCCCCCCCTGTCGGAGATGCTTGGCAATCATCAGGTGCTGGTGAGTAATCACCGGCTGGGACCCGGTGATTGACGGCTGAGGCTGCGAATCCCATACCCAGGACAGCAAAATCATGTGTGTATATATACGTAATTTTGTGCACCCGTGTCACCATGTAGCAGTACTTCTGCTATAGGGCAGACGGGAAGCAATTAAAGGAAGCTTTGTTCCTCTTTTTCGCTTCTCTGGTTGTACAGTGGGGATCGAAAGTTTGGGCACCCCAGCTAAAAATTTGTATTAATGTGCATAAAGAAGCCAAGGAAAGATGGAAAAATCTCCAAAATGCATCAAATTACAGATTAGACATTCTTATAATATGTCAACAAAAGTTAGATTTTATTTCCATCATTTACACTTTCAAAATAACAGAAAACAAAAAAATGGCGTCTGCAAAAGTTTGGGCATCCTGCAGAGTTTATAGCATGCACTGCCCCCTTTGCCAAGCTGAGACCTGCCAGTGTCATGGATTGTTCTCAATCATCGTCTGGGAAGACCAGGTGATGTCAATCTCAAAGGTTTTAAATGTTCAGACTCATCTGACCTTGCCCCCAACAATCAGCACCATGGGTTCTCTAAGCAGTTGTCTAGAAAACTGAAACTGAAAATAGTTGACGCTCACAAAGCTGGAGAAGGCTATAAGAAGATAGCAAAGCGTTTTCAGATGTCAATATCCTCTGTTCGGAATGTAATTAAGAAATGGCAGTCATCAGGAACAGTGGAAGTTAAAGCAAGATCTGGAAGACCAAGAAAAATATCAGACAGAAACAGCTCGCAGGATTGTGAGAAAAACAATTCAAAACCCACGTTTGACTGCCACGATCCCTCCAGAAAGATCTGGCAGACACTGGAGTTGTGGTCACTATTCCACTATAAAGAGATACTTGTACAAATATGGTCTTCATGGAAGAGTCATCAGAAGAAAACCTCTTCTACGTCCTCACCACAAAAAATCATCGTTTGAACTTTGCAAATGAACATATAGACAAGCCTGATGCATTTTGGAAACAAGTTCTGTGGACCGATGAGGTTAAAATTGAATCTTTTTGGCCGGAATGAGCAAAGGTACGTTTGGAGAAGAAGAGGCACAGAATTTAATGAAAAGAACCTCTGTCCAACTGTTAAGCATGGGGTTGGATCAATCATGCTTTGGGGTTGTGTTGCAGCCAGTGGCACAGGGAACATCTCACGAGTAGAAGGAAAAATGGATTCAATAAAATTTCAGCAAATTTTGGATGGTAACTTGATGCCATCTGTGAAAAAGCTGAAGTTAAAGAGAGGATGGCTTCTACAAATGGATAATGATCCTAAACACACCTCAAAATCCACGGGGGATTACATCAAGAGGCGTAAACTGAAGGTTTTGCCATGGCCTTCACAATCTCCTGACCTCAACATAATTGAAAATCTATGGATAGACCTTAAAAGAGCAGTGCGTGACAGACAGCCCAGAAATCTCAAAGAACTGAAAGACTTTTGTAAGGAAGAATGGGCAAAGATACCTCAAACAAGAATTGAAAGACTCTTGGCTGGCTACAAAAAGCGTTTACAAGCTGTGATACTTGCCAAAGGGGGCAGTACAAGATATTAACTCTGCAGGGGGCCCAAACTTTTGCAGACGCCATTTTTTTGTTTTCTGTTATTTTGAAAGTGTAAATGATGGAAATAAAATGTAACTTTTGTTGACATATTATAAAAATGTCTAATCTGTAATTTGATGCCTTTTGGAGATTTTTCCATCTTTCCTTGGCTTCTTTATGCACATTAATACAAATTTTTAGCTGGGGTGCCCAAACTTTCGATCCCCACTGTATATGGTGATTGTATGGTGAATCTACAATGGCACAGCCTGTTATATGACCTTATTATATCCTTCTCCTAGCCAAGGAGCACGAAAATCATAACTAATGGATCTCTTCCTCCACTACAGGTTCCGGTGGAATACCATGGAACGAGAGGAGAAGGTGTGTCTGAAGGACAGTGTGATGGGCCTCATCGCTGGGGTAAGTCTTTTCCACTGTTTACTGCCATATACACCCAGGGGGTTGATGTACTAAAACTGGAGAGTGCAATTCGGTGCAGCTCTGCATAGAAACCAATCGGCTTCCAGGTTTTATTGTCAAAGCTGAACGGAACAATCTGAAGTTAAAAGCTGATTGGTTTCTATGCAGAGCTGCACCAGATTTTGCATTCTCCAGTTTTAGTAAATCAACCCCCCCCCCCCAATGACTAGCAAAATGGGAACCCCTGCCCCGTGCTGTCTTGGACTCCATACAGCCATCAGTGTGAAGCGTTTTAGGTTTTCTTACGGGTTTGTTGTCATGTTATGGACTGGGATGTATGGGGTTAGGACTACCAGGTCCATACCATTACCACAGCATTTGAGGTTTCCTATGTTCTATATTCACTGCATTCCTTTTGAGGTCGTCACCTTTGGGTTTGTTATGTTATGGACTGGGATGTATGGGGTTAGGACTACCAGGTCCATACCATTACCACGGCATTTGAGGCTTTCCTATGTTTCTATATTCACTGCATACCTTTTGAGGTTGTCACCCTTGAAACCCCTGATAGTTTTACAGAACAACTCTTAAAATTCCTGACAACCACAGAAGGAGTGATTTTCAAACCTGCCTATCTGTGTTTGTCAAATTCTCTTCATCCAACTTCATGTAAGTTCGCCTTCAGGAGTATTTTCAGGCAATCCTTCTCTGCAATTCTATATCCAATGAATAGTGTATACCGTAGTTCCTCCTGTTGGAAATGGGAAAAGGTCCTCCCATTACAGATGCAGATATGGGGGTCCTCTCTAGAAAAACTGCTGGCCCCTCATTTTTCTCTAATGCGCTCTCTAGCAGCAGCTCTAGGATGTTCAGTCTACGCACAAGTATAGTGTGTCCTCTCCCAGCTCCAGCTTATTCACGGTTGCTCGGGCTTGAGATTGACGTTCAGCAGGATGAAAGGCGACACAGGTTTTCAGTCATTGGAAAGCTGTTGGACATTCTCATGATGGTCCTCTACTGTATCGCATAAAGCAATTTCTGTGTGATCTTGACTCTTTATATCATCCTCAGGGCATTCGTCCCATCCTGGAAGAAGAAGGTCACATCAAGGATGTGTTGGCCAGGATTGTGGTGGAGATGATAAAGCGGGAATGGCCTCAGCACTGGCCAAACATGCTGAACGAACTGGACACTCTCACCAAGAATGGGGTAAAGATCCTAAATTGTGTCCTCAGTCCATCCTTCTGTATATCTAACCTGTGCTCGTTGTTCTGTCCATCGGGAGTCTGGGGTAGGGAAAAGTGGGACTTTGGGATTATCACCCCTGTAAACCATCTGATTCCATCTCCTTTCTGCAGGAAGTACAAACAGAGCTGGTCATGTTCATCCTCTTACGACTGGCAGAAGATGTGGTGACCTTTCAGACTCTGCCGACCCAACGCCGGAGGGACATCCAGTCTACTATGACACAAAACATGGACAAGCTCTTCACCTTCATGTTGGGAATTCTGGGAGACAGCGTCCATCACTATCAGCAGCTGGTATGTTCGCTAGATAATTGCATTTCATTTTCATACTGGAGTTTTACCCTAAAAATAAACATCCTACATTGTAAGCTCCAAGGAGCAGGGCCCTTGAACCCCTCGTGTTTTGTATTGTTACTGTATTGTCTCATGTTCTGTCCCCACTATAATGTACAGCGCTGAGCAAACCTTTTAGAGCTATATAAATACTGTATAATAATGATGATAATAATAATTTCAGATTAGTCTTGAGATGTCTTCCTTATCTCATGTTTGTGTTCATTTATTGCAGAAAGGAGACCCAACGCAGAAGGACAAGGTGAGGATGACCTCATAGTGAACAATGACCACTTTTCTCTCTTCCATTCCAACACCTGCCCTTCTTCTATCACCAGCCCTTCTCCCTTCCTTTACCGGGCCCCGGCCCCCCCCTGCCTTTTCTCACCGGGCCCCGGCCCCCCCCCCTGCCTTTTCTCACCGGGCCCCGGCCCCCCCCCCTGCCTTTTCTCACCGGGCCCCGGCCCCCCCCCCTGCCTTTTCTCACCGGGCCCCGCCCCCCCCCCTGCCTTTTCTCACCGGGCCCCGGCCCCCCCCCCCTGCCTTTTCTCACCGGGCCCCGGCCCCCCCCCCCTGCCTTTTCTCACCGGGCCCCGGCCCCCCCCCCTGCCTTTTTCTCACCGGGCCCCGGCCCCCCCCCCCTGCCTTTTCTCACCGGGGGCCCACCCCCCCGGCCCCCCCCCCTGCCTTTTCTCACCGGGCCCCGGCCCCCCCCCCCTGCCTTTTCTCACCGGGCCCCGGCCCCCCCCCCCCTGCCTTTTCTCACCGGCCCCGGCCCCCCCCCCCCTGCCTTTTCTCACCGGGCCCCGGCCCCCCCCCTGCCTTTTCTCACCGGGCCCCGGCCCCCCCCTGCCTTTTCTCACCGGGCCCCGGCCCCCCCCCCCCTGCCTTTTCTCACCGGGCCCCGGCCCCCCCCCTGCCTTTTCTCACCGGGCCCCGGCCCCCCCCCTGCCTTTTCTCACCGGGCCCCGGCCCCCCCCCCCTGCCTTTTCTCACCGGGCCCCGGCCCCCCCCCCTGCCTTTTCTCACCGGGCCCCGGCCCCCCCCCCCTGCCTTTTTTCTCACCGGGCCCCCGGCCCCCCCCCCTGCCTTTTCTCACCGGGCCCCGCCCCCCCCCCCTGCCTTTTCTCACCGGGCCCCGGCCCCCCCCCCCTGCCTTTTCTCACCGGGCCCCGCCCCCCCCCCTGCCTTTTCTCACCGGGCCCCGGCCCCCCCCCTGCCTTTTCTCACCGGGCCCCGGCCCCCCCCCTGCCTTTTCTCACCGGCCCCGGCCCCCCCCCTGCCTTTTCTCACCGGGCCCCGGCCCCCCCCCTGCCTTTTCTCACCGGGCCCCGGCCCCCCCCCTGCCTTTTCTCACCGGGCCCCGGCCCCCCCCCTGCCTTTTCTCACCGGGCCCCCGGCCCCCCCCCTGCCTTTTCTCACCGGGCCCCGGCCCCCCCCTCTGCCTTTTCTCCCCGGGCCCCCCCTCTGCCTTTTCTCCCCGGGCCCCAGCCCCCCCCCCCTCTGCCTTTTCTCCCCGGGCCCCGGCCCACTTGCCTTTTCTCCCCGGGCCCCGGCCCACTTGCCTTTTCTCCCCGGGCCCCGGCCCACTTGCCTTTTCTCCCCGGGCCCCGGCCCACTTGCCTTTTCTCCCCGGGCCCCGGCCCACTTGCCTTTTCTCCCCGGGCCCCGGCCCACTTGCCTTTTCTCCCCGGGCCCCGGCCCACTTGCCTTTTCTCTCCCCGGGCCCCGCCCTTTTGATTTCCCTTGCCTTTTCTCCCCGTGCCTCGGCCCCCCTGCCTTTCCTCCCCGGGCCCCCCTGCCTTTCCTCCCGGGCCCCCCTGCCTTTCCTCCTCGGGCCCCCCTGCCTTTCCTCCCTGGGCCCCCCTGCCTTTCCTCCCCGGGCCCCCCTGCCTTTCCTCCCCGGGCCCCGGCCCCCTGCCTTTCCTCACCAGCACCCATTTCTTTTCTCTGTGCCATTCCCTTTGTTATTGCTGGCTTCCCTCCCCTATTGTTCTCACATGTCCCATGTTGTTTCAGTGCCAGGGACTGTGCCGGGTGGCTTTGGCGACTCTGAACACGCTGGCAGGATACATTGATTGGGTGTCCATCAGTCATATTACCGCACAGGACTGTAAGCTCCTCCAGATGTTGTGCTTGCTGCTGGCTGAGGAGGATCTGCAGGTGGAGGCAGCGGAGTGTCTGCTCATCGCTGTCAGCAGGAAGGTAAGAAGATGTTCCACTATGGATTCCATACAATCTCTCCCTTTGCAGCGTGTAAGTGTAGATATTCTGTCATACATCATGAAAGGGTCTGAGAGGTGCTGGTCATCTGATGATAATCTTTCTGCAGGGGTGATGTGTGCCGCATCCTGCTTTTTATTTTTTCCTGGTAAAATTGTCTCCAGTGACTGTCTAGTTTTGGTGGTCCTGCTGCAGGGCTTTACTTTTATTGTGAACAAAGTATTGTAGCAGTAAAATGAGTGATTATTCTTTGTACAGGGCAAGTTGGAGGACCGAACACCTCTCCTCAACCTTTTCGCAGACAGTCCCATGCACTATATTATGACGGCTGCCCAGTGAGTATTGACTCAGTTACTACTACATACACACACTACAGAACTTTGCCTATCCCCCCCGTCCATATCAGGTTCTGATTTACCAAAAGATTTGCATACGTCTGGCCCAAGTGTACCCCCAAAATATCTCTCTCCCCTTCTCGATCACCTCTCCAAAATTTTGTTTTTGAAATTGTTTTGTATAGAACACAGGCTCTTTATTTTTTTTTCTCCCAAATAACTTTCTATTCAAGGTTGTATAGGTTTTTTTTTTTTGTTTTTTTTTTTTTTTGCTGTACAAAAAAATCCCAAAACAGAATATAACAAATCACAATACTCAGGCTCTTTAATCATCAACCGGGTTATATACAACTACCTTCAAGTGACTGGACACTGGCAAATAAAGGCTTCAGGAATATCCCCCTGTATAGTCCCTCCCACTCCCAGATAGCCTCATATTTTTTTTTTTTTTTTTGTCCCTCAACATAAATCATCAAGGAGGCACCAGAAGTCAAGGGAAGTAGACTCTTTTGCAGAACTTCATGTTTCTTTTCCAATAGTTTTTATTAGTCAGATTTCAGAAGTACAGAACAAGAGTACAAAGGTTGACGTAATATATAACATATCAAACAAAAAAAAAAAAAAAAAGAAAAGAAAAGTTTCTAGTGATATGGGTACATTTCCTATGTTCCCAATAAAAGGATAGTGACACCACAAGGACCTCGGGAATATCCATAATTTACTGTATCATATTATGTTGTCGGCTTCAGTATTGCCTGAGTGTGGAGGGGCCTTAATACCACCATATAATCTACTATGCAGGTGAAACTCGAAAAATTTGAATATCGTGCAAAAGTTCATTTATTTCAGTAATGCAACTTAAAAGGTGAAACTAATATATGAGACTCATTACATGCAAAGCAAGATAGTTCAAGCCGTGATTTGTCATCATTGTGATGATTATGGCTTACAGCTCATGAAAACCCCAAATCCACAATCCCAGAAAATGAGAATATTCCATGCAATCAATAAAACACGGATTGTACATAGAACAATATCGCACCTCTGAAAAGTAGAAGCTGCATATATACTCAGTACTTGGTTTGGGCCCCTTTTACAGCAATTACTGCCTCAATGCGGCGTGGCATGGAAGCTATCAGCCTGTGGCACTGCTGAGGTGTTATGGAAGACCAGGATGCTTCAATAGCGGCCTTCAGCTCTTCTGCATTGTTCGGTCTCATGTCTCATCTTTCTCTTGGCAATGCCCCATAGAGAATCTATGGGGTTCAGATCAGGCGAGTTTGCTAGCCAATCAAGCACAGTAATCCCACGGTCATTGAACCAGGTTTTGGTGCTTTTGGCAGTGTGGGCGGTGCCAAGTCCTGCTGGAAAATGAAGTCAGCATCCCCATAAAGCTTGTCTGCGGAAGGAAGCATGAAGTGCTCCAAAATCTCCTGGTAGACGGCTGCGTTGACCCTGGACTTAATGAAGCACAGTGGGCCAACACCAGCAGATGACATGGCTCCCCAAATCAACACAGACTGTGGAAACTTCACACTGGACTTCAAACATCTTGCAGTGTGTGCCTCTCCATTCTTCCTCCATACTCGGGGTCCTTGGGCCTCTCCATTCTTCCTCCATACTCGGGGTCCTTGGCCTCTCCATTCTTCCTGGGGTCCTTGGGCCTCTCCATTCTTCCTCCATACTCGGGGTCCTTGGCCTCTCCATTCTTCCTCCATACTCGGGGTCCTTGGGCCTCTCCATTCTTCCTCCATACTCTGGGTCCTTGGGCCTCTCCATTCTTCCTCCATACTCGGGGTCCTTGGGCCTCTCCATTCTTCCTCCATACTCTGGGTCCTTGGGCCTCTCCATTCTTCCTCCATACTCGGGGTCCTTGGTTTCCAAATGAGATGCAAAAGTTGCTCTGATCAGAAAAGAGGACTTTGGACCACTGAGCAACAGATGAGGTCTGTTTTTCTTTAGCCCAGGTAAGACACTTCTGAAGAAGAATGGAGAGGCCCAACTTTTTTGCAACTTTCACATGTTAGTCAGGTGCGGACTGACAACTCATGGGGTCCCCGGGCAATAGGGGATCATGGGGCCCCTGTGTCCTTGCCCAAACTCAAAAAAGCCTATGAAAGAGGTACCAGGGGCATCTCATGGGGCCCCCTACTGACTCTGGGCCCTCGGGCAGTGCCCGAGTTTCCAAATGGTCAGTCTGCCCCTGCTTAGGTGTGAACCTAGACTAAGGCAGAGCCCCCCCCCCCAGGAGCCACAATCTGCTTGTACTGCATAAGGAAAAAAATAAACAGGATAAACATTAAAGTATATCTAAAGTCTAAGTCCCAGTTGCCCCCCAAACGCATATAGGCCACACCCATTTCCCGCTCTGACATGTTTCCTGCTCTGACATGTTTCCTTCTGTCTCCTTGCCAGGAAGGCTCATGGGGAAGGCTTACAGGAGAAGCGTTATGTTTTCCTGAAGAGGCTTTGCCAAGTGGTGTGTGCTCTGGGCAGTCAGTTGTGCGCCCTGACGGCGGTAAGAATTGCACCTTGTCTTTGTGATGTTTCACTTGTAGAACCCAGATCTTCTAATCCTCCTCCTCACCTTCCTTCCTCCCAGTCTCCTGAGAATAAGATCACGATACCGATGACTTTCAACAAATACTTAAAATCTTTACTGGATTTCACAGCGCATCCCAGCCAGGTGAGCAAACCCCGCTCTAGCCAAATTTGTCTCAAATGTGTATGTTTTGGAGGGGCTCTGCTGATCCTTCTTTTTTTTTTTTTTAAGTTTCTGAAATCTTCCACCATGATGACGTGGGGGTCTCTCTTCAGACACGAATTACTATCAAAGGACCAAGCTCTGCAGGCCATAGTTCCAGAATTCTTGCGAGTTTCTATGAGCAACGTAGTCCGGGTGAGCTCTAGATGGAACCTTTCTTTCTCTAAAATCTGTATGTCTCTGTTCGTCTCATTTAAAGGTTAAGTCCTCTCCATAAAAAGGAGGCCTTCCGTCTCCATTGTTTGCTCATTATTTTAAAGAACAAAAGGTATACCGCTCGGGCAAACAATCCAGATCAATCCACAACAGGTGCAGGTTCTGGCTCGCCACCACGCACAATGCAATAGGAAGAAGGGTCAGCTGCACACCGGAGGATAGATGAATATAGTGTGTATTTATTGATCTATAGGACACACAAAGCACCAGGACATGAATACAGGACTTGTTAACGCGTTTCACACGATCTCATGCTTAATCACGCGATCGTGTGAAACGCGTTAAGTCCTGTATTCATGTCCTGGTGTTTTGTGTGTCCTATAGATCAATAAATACACACTATATTCATCTATTCTCCGGTGTGTGGCTGACCCTTCTTCCTGTTGCTCATTATTTTAAAGGAGATGTATGGGTTTAACCACTTGCCGCCCTGCCACTGTAGAAATACGGCGGCAGGGCGGCACGGGCAGGCAAAACCACGTTTTAAAACGTGTGTTTTGTAAACAGATAGGGGGCGCGCCGCCGCCCTATCTGTCCCCCGCCGATCACCGCCGCCGGGTCACAGCCGGTCCTTAGCGGCTATGTCCCGGCGATTGGCGGCAATCAGTGACAGAGAGCACAGCTGCAGTAGCTGTGCTGTCTGTCACTTCCCTGACAGCTCGAGGACGAGCTGATCGAGAAAGAAGAGTTTCTCTCTCTGGATCAGCGGTGTCCCGTGCAGTACACCCCCGCCCCGCCCCCTAGTAAAACACTCCCCCTCACACAGATAACCCTTCCCTGCAAAATAAAGTTAACCCCTTCCTCCCCAGTGCCATTAGTACAGTGTCAATGTTTTTTTTTTTTTTTTTTGCAGTGATCACTGTATTAGTGTTTTTGGGGATGTCAGTACCCCCCAATGTCAGAATGTCCGCCGCAGTCCCGCCATAAGTCGCTGGTCGCTACCATAAGTTGCTGATTGCCACCATAAGTCGCTGATCGCCGCCATTATTAGTATAAAAAAAACCCTAAAAATCCCAGTATCTTTCCCGCCATTTGTAAGCGCTATAACTTTCATGTAAACCAATTAATTTACACGTATTGTTTTTTTTTAGCAAAGACATGTCGCAGAATGCATTTTGGCAGAAATTTATGACTAAATTTGATTTTTGCATTTTTTTTTTTTACTGGACATGTTTTATAGCAAAAAGTCCAAAATATTGTTTTTTTGTTTCCTCAAAATTGTCAGGCTTTTTTTTTTATAGCGCAAAAAATAAAAACCGCACAGGCGATCAAATACCACCAAAAGAAAGCTCAATTTGTGGGAAAAAAGGATGTAAATTTCATTTATGTACTGTATTGCATGACTGCGCAATTGTCCGTTAAACTAGCGCAGTGCTGTATAGCAGAAAAATGGCGTAAATTGCAGTATCTATACCATAGTTTGTAGACGCTATAACTTCCACACAAAGCAATCAATATACACTTATTGGGATTTTTTTTACCAAAAACATGGAGCAGAATACATTTTGGCCTAAATTTATAACCAACTTTGAGTTTACTATATATTTTTTTATAGCTGAAAGTAAAAAATATTGTTTTTCTTCAAAATTTTTGGCCTTTTTTTGTTTATAGCGTGAAAAATAAAAAGCGCACAGATGATCAAATACCACCGAAAGAAAGCTCTATTTGTGTGGAAAAAAAGGACGTAAATTGTGTTTGGGTGCAGCATTGCATGACCGCGCAATTATCAGTTGAATTAGTGCAGCCCCGAGTAGCAAAAAGAGGCGTGGTCATTAAGGGGGGTAAATCCTCTGGAGCTCAAGTGGTTAAAACAAACTTACATACTTTTATGCTGCGGCATCGGTGTGACCCTACAGCTGTTCATGTTGGCTCTAAGACTGAGATTGATCAAATGACCACCGATCGTTCAGTGCTCAGTTGGCTCGGAGCAGAGAGCAGTGACTGTCAGTCACCACTCATCTGCACTCCTCCAGAGCTCACTGGAGTTCCAGGCTGGGGAGGGGGCGAGTGCTGCTCCTAAATGCTCTCAGCCGTGCACTGAATGGCAGAGGCAGCTATCAGGCAAGTTGGGTGGATCCTGACAATATTGCAATGGCCTGCCCCAGGTTAAGCATATAGGGGGAGATCTACTAAAACTGGAGCACTCAGATTCTGGTGCAGCTGTGCATAGGAGCCAATCAGCTTTTAACTTCAGCTTGTTCAATTAAGCTTTAACAATAAAAATCTGGAAGCTGATTGGTTTCTATGCAGAGTTGCATCAGATTTTTTGCACTCTCCAGATTTAGTAAATAATCCCCCGTACTGTCAAAATACAAAAACCATGTGTGTCCTTATTTGAATCTCTGACTGTATCTGTTCAGGAATCCAACTAAGGATGTTTGCTATGGAGCCAAAAATAAGTCCGTAATAGCAGCTCCTTGCTTAAGCCCTTTGACATCTGTTTAAGGGCAGATGTTCCGCGCACACGGAGGTCACGGGAAGTAGGCCGGATGTCCTCAGTACACATGTATGATTTTTCAGCAGTCCCTCCCGTGTATTTCAGTTGTGGAAGTTAGAAAACACAAAAAAAAAGGTTCCTCCTAACAGCTCCCAATTTCCACTCCTTTTCAGGTGGGCTTCCCTTCCAAGAACAATAGTCCCAGCTGTGAATATTCCCGACTCGACTTTGATAGTGATGAGGACTTTGTAACCTTCTTCAACTGTGAGTGAAATATGTCTCCATTCTGTCTTAGGGTAGTGGGGTGTCTTTTCTCTGCTCCAGTCAATAAAGGGGGAATAATGGGTATCCTTTCTACTCCATGGGTAGAGTGCTGCTGCACTCAGTACAGGTGGGATAGTGGGGTGTCTTTTCTGTTGCAGTAAGTAATGGTGGGGTGTCCTTTCTGTTGCAGTAAGTAATGGTGGGGTGTCCCTTTCTGTTGCAGTAAGTAATGGTGGGGTGTCCTTTCTGTTGCAGTAAGTAATGGTGGGGTGTCCTTTCTGTTGCAGTAAGTAATGGTGGGGTGTCCTTTCTGTTGCAGTAAGTAATGGTGGGGTGTCCTTTCTGCTCCATTCAGCAAAGGTGGGTTAGTGGGGTGACCTTTCTTCTCCATCCATAATGGTGGGTTATTGGGGTGTCCATTCTACTCTAGTCAGCAATGGTGGGTTAGTGAGGTGTCCTTTTTTTTCTAGTCAGCAATGGTGGGTTAGTGGGGTGTCCTTTCTTTTCTAGTCAGCAATGGCGGGTTAGTGGGGTGTCCTTTATTTTCTAGTCAGCAATGGTGGGTTAGTGGGGTGTCCTTTCTTTTCTAGTCCGCAATGGTGGGTTAGTTGGTGTCCTTCTCCAGTCAGTAAAGGTGGGTTAGTGGGGTGACCTTTCTTCTCCATCCGTAATGGTGGGTTAGTGGGGTGACCTTTCTTCTCCATCCGTAATGGTGGGTTAGTGGAGTGACCTTTCTTCTCCATCCGTAATGGTGGGTTAGTGGGGTGACCTTTCTTCTCCATCCGTAATGGTGGGTTAGTGGGGTGACCTTTCTTCTCCATCCGTAATGGTGGGTTAGTGGAGTGACCTTTCTTCTCCATCCGTAATGGTGGGTTAGTGGGGTGACCTTTCTTCTCCATCCGTAATGGTGGGTTAGTGGGGTGACCTTTCTTCTCCATCCGTAATGGTGGGTTAGTGGGGTGACCTTTCTTCTCCATCCGTAATGGTGGGTTAGTGGGGTGACCTTTCTTCTCCATCCGTAATGGTGGGTTAGTGGGGTGACCTTTCTTCTCCATCCGTAATGGTGGGTTTGTGGGGTGACCTTTCTTCTCCATCCGTAATGGTGGGTTAGTGGGGTGACCTTTCTTCTCCATCCGTAATGGTGGGTTAGTGGGGTGACCTTTCTTCTCCATCCGTAATGGTGGGTTAGTGGGGTGACCTTTCTTCTCCATCCGTAATGGTGGGTTAGTGGGGTGACCTTTCTTCTCCATCCGTAATGGTGGGTTTGTGGGGTGACCTTTCTTCTCCATCCGTAATGGTGGGTTAGTGGGGTGACCTTTCTTCTCCATCCGTAATGGTGGGTTAGTGGGGTGACCTTTCTTCTCCATCCGTAATGGTGGGTTAGTGGGGTGACCTTTCTTCTCCATCCGTAATGGTGGGTTAGTGGGGTGACCTTTCTTCTCCATCCTTAATGGTGGGTTAGTGGGGTGACCTTTCTTCTTCATCCATAATGGTGGGTTAGTGGGGTGTCTTTTCTGCTCTAGTCAGCAATGGTGTGTCTTTTCTTCTCCATCCATAATGGTGGGTTAGTAGGGTGTCCTCTTTACTCCTGTCAGTAGAGAAAGGATAGTGGGGAGTCCTTTCTGCTCCAGTCAATACAGGGGGAATAATGGGTATCCTTTCTACTCCATGGGTATAGTGCTGCTGCACTCAGTACAGGTGGGACAGTGGGATGTCCTTTCTGCTCCAGTCAGTAAAGGTGGGTTAGTGGGAGGTCCTTTCTGCACCAGTCAATAGAGGGATAATGGGTTTCCTTTCTACTCAATAGGGATAGTGCTGCTCCACTCAGTAGAGGTGGAGATAGTGGGGAGTCCTTTCTGCTCCTGTCAATAGAAGGGGAGATGGTGGATTTAGTGCTCAGTAGAGGGCACAGTGCTGCTCTATTTTATAGAGGGGATAGATTTTGGGTGTCCTTTCTGCTCTCTTCACTTGAGGGGGTATAATGGGGGGGGGGGGTCCATTCTGCTTTAATTGGTAGAAGGGGGGATAGTGGGTGTCATTGCTTTTCTGCCCTGGTCAGGAAGGGCGGGGGTAGCAAGATGTCCACATTCCTTTAGCAAGTGGGAAAGGGGAAGAGAGTGGGGTCTTCTTTCTGCTCCAGTTACTAGAGGGGGGATTAGTTTGTGTCCTTTTTGGTCAGGTGAGTAGTGGGTGGATAGTGGATGTCCTTCCTGCTCCGATCAGTAGAATGGGATAATGAGTGTCGTCCTTGCATCCATTAGAGGAGAGATAGTGGGTGTAGGGGTGGGGTTAGTGGGATATTGTTTGTCCTCTGGACAGTAGAGGGGGGATAGTGGATGTCCTTTCTGTCCCAGTCAGTAGAGGAGGGATTAGTTGGTGTCCTTTTTGGTCAGGTGAGTAGTGGGTTGATAGTGGATGTCCTTCCTGCTCCCATCAGTAGAGGGGGATAAGGATTGTTGTCCTTGCTTCCATTAGAGGAGAAATAGTGGGTGTAGGGGTGGGGTTAGTGGGAATTTGTTTTGTTCTCTGGACAGTAGAGGGGGGATAGTGGATGTCCTTTCTGCCCCAGTCAGTAGGGCGAATAGTATGGTATCCTTATTTCTCTGGTCAGTAAAAGGGGGTATAGTGGGTATCTATTCTGCCCCATAAAGGAAGGAGGGGGTAGTGGATTGTCCTTTCTGCTCTCATCAGTAGAGGGGGATAAGGATTGTTGTCCTTGCTTCCATTAGAGGAGAGATAGTGGGTGTAGGGGTGGGGTTAGTGGGATTTTGTTTGTCTTCTGGTCAGTAGAGGGGGGATAGTGGATGTCCTTTCTGTACCAGTCAGTAGAGGAGGGATTAGTTGGTGTCCTTTTTGGTCAGGTGAGTAGTGGGTGGATAGTGGATGTCCTTCCTGCTCCCATCAGTAGAGGGGGGATAGTGGATGTCCTTCCTGCTCCCATCAGTAGAGGGGGGATAAGGATTGTTGTCCTTGCTTCCATTAGAGGAGAGATAGTGGGAGAAGAGGTGGGGTTAGTGGGATTTTGTTTGTCCTCTGGTCAGTAGAGGGGGGATAGTGGATGTCCTTTCTGCCCCATAAAGGAAGGAGGGGGTAGTGGATTGTCCTTTCTGCTCCCATCAGTAGAGGGGGATAATGAGTGTTGTCCTTGCTTCTATTAGAGGAGAGATAGTGGGTGTAGGGGTGGGGTTAGTGGGATTTTGTTTGTCCCTCTGGTCAGTAGAGGGGGGATAGTGGATGTCCTTTCTGCCCCAGTCAGTAGGGCGAATAGTATGGTATCCTTATTTCTCTGGCCAGTGAAAGGGGATATAGTGGGTATCTATTCTGCCCCATAAAGCAAGGAGGGGGGAGGGGGCAGTGGATTGTCCTTTCTGCTGCAGTCAGTAGAGGGGGAATAGTGGCTGGTCAGTGAGAAGGTTGGGGATAGTGAGATGTGGTTTTGTTCTCTGGTAAGTAGTGGGGGGGGATTGTCCTGTCAAAAAATATTTTGTCCCTGTGTTGGACTTGGTTGTAGTCTTTCCTGTTTTGTGACTCAGATTTCAAAGCAATGATGGGGGATGTGATGGAGGCAGTCGTGTCGTCTGAATCCTCATGCCAGCTTTCACATGGCTGCCGAATGGCTTCAGTTCCAGATCTCTGCCCCACTGGACCCGGGACCAAATGGCTGTAAGTAGCGAACACTGGAGGTGTGGTGTGTCTTGTTGCTGGTCAGTCTTTGTGAGCCACGTGCTTCGCTTCCTCTGTTGCCCTGTGTCGATTCAATGTACTGTGATCCCTTACATCTCCTCTGTTGTGGATGGTGACATTTGTGTTTTGTATTGTAGCCAAGGCTGGAGAGGGACTCTGCACCCTCTTGTCACCCTCATACATTCAGTGGGATGCCATGACGTTTTTCTGCGAGTGTGTCATCAACCAGGTTGTACGGGTGCTCCCGAAAGAGGTGAGATGACTGTCAGGTTCTTGTACGTGGCATACAATTCATGGAGTGTGTTACACAATCCTGCTCAGGGTGTTACCCGTGGTGTGACAGTTTTTGGTTACTTCTAGGTCTAGGTTAGAGGCATGTCTTTGAATCTTTTACTGACTAGTGTAAAATTAATACATACTAGTTCACCCAATGCTTTTGTAAATTTTATTCCTGAGGAGTGCAGCAAAGTTAGTTGGAATTTGACACTTCTGGGAGTGTCGGATCCAATTATACGCCGGCTCCCCCAAAGGACTACCCAGCTAAGTGTAGTGGGTGAGTAAATATTAAAGGAAGATAATTAGAAACTCAAATTTTTTTGGGCACCAATTCACAAAAAGAACATTGGGGAAGTGGAGAAAGTACAGAGAAGGGGAACCAAACTGATAAGAGGCATGGAGGAGCTCAGCTATGAGGAAAGATTAGAGGAACTGAATTTATTCTCTACTGAGAAGAGGAGATTAAGGGGGGATATGATCTCCATGTATAATACATAAGGGGGGATATGATCTCCATGTATAATACATAAGGGGGGATATGATCTCCCATGTATAATACATAAGGGGGATATGATCTCCATGTATAATACATAAGGGGGATATGATCTCCATGTATAATACATAAGGGGGATATGATCTCCATGTATAATACATAAGGGGGATATGATCTCCATGTATAATACATAAGGGGGGTATGATCTCCATGTATAATACATAAGGGGGGATATGATCTCCATGTATAATACATAAGGGGGGGGATATGATCTCCATGTATAATACATAAGGGGGGATATGATCTCCATGTATAATACATAAGGGGGGATATGATCTCCATGTATAATACATAAGGGGGGGATATGATCTCCATGTATAATACATAAGGGGGGGATATGATCTCCATGTATAATACATAAGGGGGGGATATGATCTCCATGTATAATACATAAGGGGGGGGGATATGATCTCCATGTATAATACATAAGGGGGGGATATGATCTCCCATAAGGGGATATGATCTCCATGTAATAATACATAAGGGGGGGATATGATCTCCATGTATAATACATAAGGGGGGGATATGATCTCCATGTATAATACATATAGGGGGGGGGATATGATCTCCATGTATAATACATAAGGGGGGGGGATATGATCTCCATGTATAATACATAAGGGGGGGGGATATGATCTCCATGTATAATACATAAGGGGGGGGGGGATATGATCTCCATGTATAATACATAAGGGGGGGGGGATATGATCTCCATGTATAATACATAAAGGGGGGGGGGATATGATCTCCATGTATAATACATAAGGGGGGATATGATCTCCATGTATAATACATAAGGGGGGATATGATCTCCATCTCAGCAGTTCATATAGTGAACTCTGTGTAGTTATTCCCCTGAGGTCATCACAGAGGACAAGGGGGCACTCTTTACATCTGGAGGAAAAGAAATGTAATCTCCAAACACGGAAAGGTTTCTTCACAGTGGGAGCTGTGAAAATGTGGAATAGACTCCCTCAAGAGTTGGTTGTGGCCAGCTCAGTGGATTGCTTTAGGAAAGTCCTGGATTCTTTCTTGGGTACACACAATATATCTGGATACCAACATCAGGAAGGAATTTTTTTTCCCAGCAGGAGCAAATTGGATCATGCTTTGCTGGGGGTTTTTTTTCCTTCCTCTGGACCAACTGTGGATATAGGATTATAACTTTTTTTTTTTTTTTTCTTTGGTTGAACTGGATGGACTTTTGTCTTTTTTCATCCAGACTAACTATGTAACATAAAGGAAGATGAATTGCGCTCATCATGGTTCTCAAAAAGGATTCCCACTGGGGAGGACACCAAGGATACTGTCACAATGGACACATTGGATATGGTCTGGATGGCACCTTAGCAATAGCTAAGAGACCGAAAGGGTGCGCCAGTCTAAGTGTAGCAATCTGGAGAGGTGAGCACAGCACACGATAATTGGCAACTCAGTGTGCGGATGATCTCATGCATCATAGTCATTGGTGTAGCTAGGAGGAGGAGGAGGCATCCAGGACCCCAAGATGGAGCTGCTGCAAGGAGTGGAGTGTGGTAGCCGGGGGTGACCAGGCAGTCTCAGGACAGGGAAGCAACATGTGTGGATCGATGGAGCACAGTTGAGGACAGGAAGTGATGTCGGGGGGGGGTGGCAACATGTTTTAGAAGCCCATGCCTCTTTTTCAAGCCAGGACCTGGACAACCTTCTGTCTTCTCAACTGAATTGTAGATTGGCGCCACGCATTTGTTTCAGCGCATGAAATTCTCAGCATCATAGTATTCTTGCCAGGACAAGGCGGTCATATGCCAGCGTTATAGAACAAAAGGTTGGTTGCAGCTGTTTACATTCATGTCCAGCTTTCCACTCAATGCAGGTCAGTGCCAAAAAAAATGCCCACTAAGTCAGTCTGAGTGTCTGCTTAGCCCGCTTCCAGAAGCTCCAGAGAGCCTCTCCTGTGTGGTAGCCGCCATTGCTTTCTGCAGAGCTTTGCACCTACACCACAGTGTGCATTCATTTTATAGTATTCAAACCTTGGCAGAAGTTCTCCTTCACCTTTTACCCAGGTGACATTTTTTTAAAAGAATGTTTGTTTTTATTGTTTTATTATTACTGCATTATTATTATTATTATTATTTAAGCCGCCTTATTTTTATTATTATTATACAGTGTTTATAAAGCGCCAATAGTTCGCTCAGCGCTGCACATTACAATGGGGACAGAAAAATAACAATACAATACAATGCAAAACATGAGGGGATTGAGGGCCCTGCTCCTTGGAGCTTACAATCTAGGAGGGAGGGGATGGGTGGCACAGGAGGAGATAGCTGTGGGGGATGGAGTGGTAGGTAGGAAGAGTGGAGGAGGGTCGGCAAGTTAGCAGGGGGGTGGGGTAGGCTTCCCTGAAGATGGGTTTTCAGGGTGCGCCTAAAGGAGAGGAGAGTAGGTGATAATCTGATGGGTTGGGGCAGGGAGTTCCAGAGGATGGGTGACACCCTGGAGAAGTCCTGGAGGCAGGCATGGAGGAGGAGACCAGGGAACTAGAGAGGAAGGAGGTCTTGTGAGGAGCGGAGTGTGCGTGTTGGGTGGTACTTGGATATTAGGTCGGTGATGTAGTTTGGGGCAGTATGGTGGACAGCTTTGTACGTCAGTGTTAGGATTTTTGAATTTGATCCGTTGCGCAATCGGAAGCCAGTGGAGGGATTGGCAGAGGGGGGTGGCGGAAGATGGAGCGGTTGGTAAGGTGAATGAGTCTGGCTGCCGTATTCAGGATGGACTGAAGCGGGGGATAGCCAGCGGCGAGGCAGGCCAGTGAGGAGGGAGTTGCAGTAGTCGAGTCGTGATATGATTGAGGGAGTGGATGAGCTGTTTAGTGGTTTCTGGGGTTAGGGAACGTGCGGATTTTGGCGATGTTGCGGAGGTGGAGTCTGCATGAGTTTGTTAAAGATTGGGACTTGGGGCTGGAAGGATAGGTTGGAGGTCCAGAATGACACCAAGTACTCTGGCCTGCGGGGCGGGGGTTTGATGGTGGCATTGTTGGATATGATGGAGAAATCAATGGGGGGTGGTGTCCGGGCTGGGGGGGGAAGACAAGAAACTCGATTTTGGAGAGGTTCAGTTTAAGGAAGTGGAGCGACATCCAGTCTGATATGTCGCTCAGTAGGTTTGTGATTCGGGCGGAGACTGAGGGGGTGAGGTGGGGGTGAGGTGGGGGGTTGAGAGATAGATTTGTGTGTCATCGGCATATAGGTGGTAGTTGAAGCCGTGAGAGAGTGTATGAGTTGGCCAAGGGAGGAGGTGTAAGATGGAGAAGAGAAGGGGCCCAAGGACAGGGCCTTGAGGGACCCCAACAGAGAGGGGGAGTGAGGGGGAGGTGGTAGCATTATAGGTAATGCTGAAAGAGCGTTGTGATAGGTAGGATGAGAGCCAGGAGAGAGCAGAATCTCGGAGGCCGAGGGAGTGTAGTTTTTTGAGGAGGAGGGGGTGGTCGACTGTGTCGAAGGCCGCAGAGAGGTCAAGGAGTAGGAGCACTGAAATGGTGGCCATTAGCTTTGGCGGTTAGCAGGTCGTTGGAGAGTTTGAGTAAGGCAGTTTCGGTGGAGTGTAGGGGACGGAAGCCGGACTGTAGGGGATCGAGGAGGTTGGTTTGTCGTTGAGGTGAGAGCATAGGCGGGTGTAGACTAGGCGCTCGAGGAGTTTGGATGTGAATGGGAGCAGGGAGATGGGTCTGAGGTTGTTCCGGTCACTGGGGTCCAGGGAGGGCTTTTTAAGTATGGAGGTGATTTGTGCATGTTTCAGAGGGGAGGGGGAAAGTGCCGGAGGAGAGGGAGAGATTGAAGATGTGGGTGAGGGAGCGTAGGATGGAGGGGGAGGGAGGTCGTAGGAGTTGTGAGGGGATAGGGTCGAGGGGGCAGGTGGTGAGGCGGGCATCAGAGAGGATCTTGGAGACTTCCTCGATGGTAGTAAGGTCAAAGGTGTTGAGGGGGCTTCAGTATGAGGAATGTGGGGTGGGGTGGAAGTGGAGGTCAGAGCAGTGGGTGGGGGGCCGTGGGAGAGGGGGTGATGAGGGGATAGCTGAGTGAGGGGGGAACGGGGTTGGAGGGAGTTTGAGCAGCGACGAAGTCCCTGCTGGTTATGTCGAGGGGGAGGGGGGATGAGGGGGTAGCTGTGTGAGAGGGGACGGGTTGAGAGGGCGTGTGAGTTGCGGCGATGTCCTTGCGAATTGTGTCAATCTTGTTTTTGAAGTGATTGGCAATCTCAAGGGCAGTGAGTGAGGTGGGGGGGGTGGCGAGAGTAGAGAGTTGAAGGTGGAGAAGAGTTGGCGAGGATTGGAGGAGAGGGCCTTGATGAGGGTCAGGAAGTAGGCTTGTTTGGCTGCGTAGAGGGAGGAGGTGTAGGTGTGGAAGACAGATTTGTAGCGGTGTGAAGGCTTGTTGGGATTTTATAAAAGAGAGCCCAGGGACTGCGTAATGCATGATATCTTTGTGTGGTATCATAACGGTAGGACGTCAGGTTTTTCATCCTCTATATAACTGTGACCCGATCCTTATTCTGAGGTAAACGGGGGACCTCCGCTGCATAATGTCCAGATAGAATGGTCAATAGTGCTATCCGAGGGGAGTATTGGGTATGCTTGTCCCTGTGACCTGGTGATTATATGCTGAAGGGCATGTCTATTGGGAGCTTGATGTATGCACAGCACCACCATATATGCAGCATAGTGCCCAATGAGGCATTACAGTGCCAACCTGGGTGATAATTTATATAATGACTGTAGTATATTTTTGTCCAGTATGAGCCGTCTACAGATCCTGAATTGGGGGCCTGAACTGTGGATGGGCTCATGGTGATATAGGGAGTGTAGCAGGATCCTCAGGGACGGGGAATCTGGCCCCCCTCTCTGGGCTGTGGTGCACGGGGAATCTGGCCCCCCTCTGGGCTGTGGTGCACGGGGAATCTGGCCCCCCTCTGGGCTGTGGTGCACGGGGAATCTGGCCCCCCCTCTGGGCTGTGGTGCACGGGGGAATCTGGCCCCCCTCTGGGCTGTGGTGCACGGGGAATCTGGCCCCCCCTCTGGGCTGTGGTGCACGGGGAATCTGACCCCCCTCTGGGCTGTGGTGCAGTGCACATGGAATCTGGCCCCCCTCTGGGCTGTGGTGCACGGGGAATCTGGCCCCCCCTCTGGGCTGGGGTGCACGGGGAATCTGGCCCCCCTCTGGGCTGTGGGTGCACGGGGAATCTGGCCCCCCTCTGGGCTGGGGTGCACGGGGAATCTGGCCCCCCTCTGGGCTGGGGTGCACGGGGAATCTAGCCCCCCTTGGGCTGGGGTGCACGGGGAATCTAGCCCCCCTTGGGCTGGGGTGCACGGGGAATCTAGCCCCCCTTGGGCTGGGGTGCACGGGGAATCTAGCCCCCCTTGGGCTGGGGTGCAAGAGGAATTTGGCCCCCCTGGGCTGAGGTGCACAGGGCAATCTGGCCCTTAGGCTTAGGGGGAGGTAAGCAGCAGTAAAGCTGACGCTCTGACTTTCTGGTTCTCTATCCTCTGTTCCACCTTTTTCTCTCAGGATCTGCCCGTGTCTCAAGGTGTGGAGCTTCTCCAAGCTGTGCTCAACTATCAGACGAAGGACCCCCTGATCCTCTCCTGCCTCCTCACCAACCTCTCCGCACTCTTCCCCTTTGTGCGCTATATGAACGGTTTCATGCCTAGCGTTCTGACCAAGGTGAGTGTGTTCTGGTCACATGATTCTTCCCACCTCTCCTGATCTGTGATGATCTTTCCCCGAGGCCTGGGCTTATATCCTCCCTGCTGCCTTCCCTCTGAAAAATGCTATTTGCCTGGCTTCATAGACCTGGAACAAGAGTGCAGCAGATAGAAGCTGGGATAAAGTCACGCTTCCTTGTCCGTGTTCCTATTTCAGACTCGGTTGAAGCTGTTGTCAGTATGACATCCAGGCAAATGGCATTTTCACACGGAGATTTCAGAGGTCTGTTTTTTCATATATCAGGTTTCTTTTATAATATGCATTCATTTCATATTCCCAGGTGCAGGCAGAAGGTGAAGCTCTCAGGCTGGAAGTTTGTGTAGCACTTTGCTTCTGAGCTGCAAAGTAATGTGCCTGTGTCCTCTGTATTCAGAATAGACACACAGCTGAGTAAGTTAGAGGCGGGCCCTGCTGCCCCCTCCTGGTCTGTGCTCCCTATAGCTCTGTATGGAGGATCACTTAGAGAGAGACAGTCCACAAGTGGGCAGCAGTGGCAAGGATTCTTACATTTTGTAGAATTGATCAAAATCCATGACAGTTACCTCTTTTTAGAGGCTGTGTCTGATCTATCTGAAAGGTTCCCCGAAGTATTATTATTATACAGGATTTATGTAGCGCCTACAGTTTGCTCAGTGAAGTAAATGCACCAATGCTGAGCAAGCACAGGGTCATGGGCTCTCTCTACCTGTAGACAGAATGGCATAGCTGTCTCAGGCTGGAAACGGCGGAGGCGGAGTCTGGGGCAGATTGGCAGTTGGATGATTCTCTTTATAGAGAGTAGGAGGGGTCTGTAGTCCAAATCGGGGGAGGAGCAGCCTAGAGTGACAACTCTGCTTCTCCAAAGACACTGTACAGTGAGTGTTGTCAGCCTTGCATAGGAGGTCTTACTAGTAGTAGTAGGATCACCAGGCAGAAAAAAGCCTTAAAAAAAGAAAACAAATGCAGCCACCAAATCTAAGGTCCGGTAAGCTGCTATATTAAATTTTTCTTCCTGGAGTTTAAATACACTTTAAAATCTGGAGAAGACTCTCGCTCAAACATTCTCCCCATAGAGCAGATACAGTTCTCGGGCCCCAGAGCAGACGAGGTAAAGCGGCTTCATATGTAAGGAGCATTGGAAGTTACTTAAATCTGATCCCCAGCCTCCCCTTCAGTCTTGCACAGTTGTACCGGCTTCTCTCCTGGACTAAAATTGCTTACTCTGATTTCACCGCACACTGTGAGCTTCTCATTAAAGTGGAGTTCCTCTCACACTGTCAAAGAATAGAAGTCCGCAGCTACAAAAACTGTAGCTGCTGACTTTTTTAAAAAACAGCCACTTACCTGTCCCTCAGTCCCGTGGTGTGTCCCCTGCAGCCCAATTCACCGGCTGTCCTGTATTCCAGGAGGCCGGCATCTTCAGTCTGGGCACCCGGCTGTGACAGCTTGCGGCTTCACAGCCGGGTACCCACTGCGCATGCGCGCGAGTAGCACTGCGCTTCATGAATGGTCCTGTAGTGTTCTGTCACGTGCCCCAAAAGACTACAGGAAGGGAGGGAGGACACCTTCTGTTTCTGATCACCAAGGCGATCGGACTGGAAATGGGAGCGGGTACCTGTCAAATTCGGGTACCCACTCCCCCGCCCCCCAAAGGTGCCATCCTTAATGGGGAGCGTGGAGGCAGTCCTTAAAGTGGAACTTCCCCTTTTGGGTGGAGCTCCGCTTTAAGTGCATTAGAAGCTGCCGCAGTCAGAGCTCCACCTTATTTCCTGGTTGGAGGACACCCAGCTACATCCTTTTATTTATTTCAGGTACTTATATAGCGCTGTCCATTTACGCAGTGCTTTACATACATATTGTACATTCACATCAGTCCCTGACCCTCAAGGGGTGTACAATCTAAGGTCCCTAACTCACATTCATACATACACATACTAGGGACAATTTAGACAGGAGCCAATTCACCTATCAGCATGTCTTTGGAGTGTGGGAGGAAACCCACGCAGGCACAGGAAGAACATGCAAACTCCAGGCAGGTGGAGCTGTGGCTGGGATTCGAACCGATGACCCCAATACTGCCAGGCGGAAGTGCTAACCATTTAGCCACCGTGCTGCCCAACCTCTTTCCTTTCCAGCCTGACTGTCCCATACCCCTTTCATTCATTAGATTTCAATCACAGAAACTAAGTGGTGTCACAAAGTCTGAGATAATGTATGTAATGAAAATGAAAGGATTTTATTTAAATGTATCATATGGAGGGGGCGAGCAAGGAAGGCAAATTACACTGTTCAACAAATTTTTATTTTTTGCCAGTTTTGGAAACAAAAGGATCCATTTCTTAATGAATTTCACATTCTGAGTTCAAATATAACAATGAAATTTGTCAATTGGCTCTAGTTTTTCTGTAAACGGAAAGTTTTTCTACTATAGCGTAATGACTACATAATGCACAATAATTATATAGATAATGTCTTTCCACAAAATAAAAAAGTGATATTGACTACATAACAGCCTAAATGGCATAATATATTGCATAGGATTACCAAGAAAAATTATAGCCATAAGCTAAGTTGAATCATTTTAATACTTAGGATTCTCACTAGTTTTGTCTTCAGTTTGTGTCGGTTTTGCTTCTCTTGGCTTTTCTCTTGTATTCGAGGAAAGGGCTATCTCTTACAACTGCACGTGACTACACGCTTCAGGTTCTTCCTCACTTGACTCAACCACGAAGGATTCTGGTGCTTTAGGAATTGGTAGCCCCTCTCCATGAGGAACTGGACGTATTGCCGATGGAATATTTGGATAGTGCACAGATTCACTTTTTCTTCTTATTTAGCCCTTTTACAATTGGAGGCACCATACAAAAGTAACAATTACTAACATGATCTGTTTGGCTCTCTCCAAATCATTGGCACAGCGAAAGGCATAGATGCCTTTTTTCCATTCAACCATTGCTCCAGTGCCGTCCCACAAGAATTGCAGCATATATGTGGTGCCCAGCTCTTGTCCTGGTCTCCTATCTTGCAGCCAAAATACAAGTTGTAGGCTTTCTTAATCATTCCTGTTATCCTCCTTTTTTGTGAGATAAAAGTTATTTCACCGCAGATATAGCAGAAATTATCTGCTTTATTCACACAAGTTCGAGGCATTACTGAGTAGCCTATATAAGCATAAAACCAAATGTAAAGACGCTGAACTACAATCAGCTACAGATACTGCAGCTTTTATGCAGTGAAGTGATGCAATTAAAGGCTAATATTGCATCATCTCAGTTTACATGCAATTTTCTATTGGTCACCAGTATCAATTGCGCAATATGCAGCTGAAGTTGCATCATAATTTTGAATGGCTTACGTCATTAGATGGGTGAATATATCATGGAAACTAGAGCCAATCAACATTTTTTAGGGTCAATTTCATTTTCAGCACCCCAAAATTATGTAAGATTAGCTAATTTTATGCCCAAAACTTTTTACCTGTTGAACAGTGTTATTAAGCAGAATAAACATCAGATTTAATAGTAATATTTTAAAATTCTTGTGAATAATCCCCCCCCCCCCTCTCTTATGTTCACAGCTTTTCTCTGCCGTCCCCTTTGAGCTGAATACTAAGGTAATGATAATACAAGTCTGATTTATATTGAACTGTGTAGCACTGAGTTGGTATTACAACATAGGTTTTATTTTTCTTGTGCTCGGCTGTTATATACAGTCTGTTGATAGTGCAGACAGAGATGAACCGGTCATTATTTTATGGCTGGGATTACAGTGGACGCCAACCGCGCTATAGTCGAAGGATGGCTACAGCACGGTTGTCTGGATCCATGGATGTCATTCCAGAACGTCCCCCCAGTGGCGCCACCGGTGTTTGCTGTCTCCTATGGAAACAGCTGATCATGTCATGCGGTAAACGGCCAATCACAGCGGCCTTTTACCACGTGATCAGCTGTGTCCAATGACACAGCAGATCACCAGTAAATACAGTTGCTGGTTATCGACTGCATTTTCCTCACACTGTCACAGCGTGAGGAAAGTACTGCTGAGAACCGATTATCGGTGTCCTGCAGTGCCGCCCATCACTGCTGCACATCAATGCCCCCCATCATTATTGTACGTCAATAATACGTTCCTAACCCCAGAAACCACTAAACAGCTCATCCACTCCCTCATCATATCACGACTCGACTACTGCAACTCCCTCCTCACTGGCCTGCCTCGCCGCTGGCTATCCCCACTTCAGTCCATCCTGAATACGGCTGCCAGACTCATTCACCTTTCCAACCCCTCTGTCTCCGCCACCCCCCCTCTGCCAATCCCTCCACTGGCTTCCGATTGCGCAACGGATCAAATTCAAAATCCTAACATTGACGTACAAAGCTGTCCACCACACTGCCCCGAACTACATCACTGACCTAATATCCAAGTACCACCCAACACGCACACTCCGCTCCGCTCCTCACAAGACCTCCTTCTCTCTAGTTCCCTGGTCTCCTCCTCCCATGCCCGCCTGCAGGACTTCTCCAGGGTGTCACCCATCCTCTGGAACTCCCTGCCCCAACCCATCAGATTATCACCTACTCTCCTCTCCTTTAGGCGCACCCTGAAAACCCACCTCTGCAGGGAAGCCTACCCCACCCCCTGCTAACTTGCCGACCTCCTCCACTCTTCCTACCACTCCATCCCCCACAGCTATCTCCTCCTGTGCCACCATCCCCTCCCTCCTAGATTGTAAGCTCCAAAGAGCAGGGCCCTCAATCCCCTCATGTTTTGCATTGTATTGGTATTGTTCTGTCACATGTTCTGTCCCCCTTTGTAATGTACAGCGCTGAGCGAACTATTGGCGCTTTATAAATACTGTATAATAATAATAATAATAATAATGCCCCCCATCATTATTGCACATCAGTGCCGCCTATCAGTGTGCAGCCTCATCAACGCTTATCAGTGAAGGAGAAAAATTTCCTGTTTGCAAAATTTTATAATAGAAACAAAGAAAACCTTTTTTTTTTTCTTCACATTTTTTGCTCTTTTTTTTGTTTATAGCACAAAAAATAAAACACTCAGCCACGATTAAATACCACCAAAAGAAATCTGTGTGTGAAAAAAATTCTAAAAATGTCATATGGGTACAGTGTTTGCATGACCGCGCAATTGTCATTCAAAGTGTGACAGCGCTGAAAGCTGAAAATTTGCCTGGGAAAGAAGGGGGTGGAAGTGCCCGGTAGGCAAGTGGTTAAGATTCATACTTCATGAGAAAGATTAGGGTCCTGTCTGCATTGCCACATTTTATTATTATGTGATATAAAAAATACTTCTGCTCCTGATCTCCCTTATGTGACTTAAAGTGAGGCTAAACCCAGGACCCTGCATTCACTATATCTGGTCTCCTTGGACCCTGCATTCACTATATCTGGTCTCCTTGGACCCTGCATTCACTATATCTGGTCTCCTTGGACCCTGCATTCACTATATCTGGTCTCCTTGGACCCTGCATTCACTATATCTGGTCTCCTTGGACCCTGCATTCACTATATCTGGTCTCCCCGGACCCTGCATTCTCTATATCCGGTCTCCCCGGACCCTGCATTCACTAGATCCAGTCTCCCGGGACCCTGCATTCACTATATCCGGTCTCCCCGGACCCTGCATTCACTAGATCCAGTCTCCCGGGACCCTGCATTCACTATATCCGGCCTCCCCGGACCCTGCATTCACTAGATCCAGTCTCCCGGGACCCTGCATTCACTATATCCGGTCTCCCCGGACCCTGCATTCACTAGATCCAGTCTCCCGGGACCCTGCATTCACTATATCCGGCCTCCCCGGACCCTGCATTCACTAGATCCAGTCTCCCGGGACCCCGCATTCACTATATCCGCTCTCCCCGGACCCCGCATTCACTATATCCGCTCTCCCCGGACCCCGCATTCACTATATCCGCTCTCCCCGGACCCCGCATTCACTATATCCGCTCTCCCCGGACCCCGCATTCACTATATCCGCTCTCCCCGGACCCCGCATTCACTATATCCGCTCTTTCCGGACCCCGCATTCACTATATCCGCTCTCCCCGGACCCCGCATTCACTATATCCGCTCTCCCCGGACCCCGCATTCACTATATCCGCTCTCCCCGGACCCCGCATTCACTATATCCGCTCTCCCCGGACCCCGCATTCACTATATATCCCGCTCTCCCCGGACCCCGCATTCACTATATCCGCTCTCCCCGGACCCCGCATTCACTATATCCGCTCTCCCCGGACCCCGCATTCACTATATCCGCTCTCCCCGGACCCCGCATTCACTATATCCGCTCTCCCCGGACCCCGCATTCACTATATCCGCTCTCCCCGGACCCCGCATTCACTATATCCGCTCTCCCCGGACCCCGCATTCACTATATCCGCTCTCCCCGGACCCCGCATTCACTATATCCGCTCTCCCCGGACCCCGCATTCACTATATCCGCTCTCCCCGGACCCCGCATTCACTATATCCGCTCTCCCCGGACCCCGCATTCACTATATCCGCTCTCCCCGGACCCCGCATTCACTATATCCGCTCTCCCCGGACCCCGCATTCACTATATCCGCTCTCCCCGGACCCCGCATTCACTATATCCGCTCTCCCCGGACCCCGCATTCACTATATCCGCTCTCCCCGGACCCCGCATTCACTATATCCGCTCTCCCCGGACCCCGCATTCACTATATCCGCTCTCCCCGGACCCCGCATTCACTATATCCGCTCTCCCCGGACCCCGCATTCACTATATCCGCTCTCCCCGGACCCCGCATTCACTATATCCGCTCTCCCCGGACCCCGCATTCACTATATCCGCTCTCCCCGGACCCCGCATTCACTATATCCGCTCTCCCCGGACCCCGCATTCACTATATCCGCTCTCCCCGGACCCCGCATTCACTATATCCGCTCTCCCCGGACCCCGCATTCACTATATCCGCTCTCCCCGGACCCCGCATTCACTATATCCGCTCTCCCCGGACCCCGCATTCACTATATCCGCTCTCCCCGGACCCCGCATTCACTATATCCGCTCTCTCCCGGACCCCGCATTCACTATATCCGCTCTCCCCGGACCCCGCATTCACTATATCCGCTCTCTCCCCGGACCCCGCATTCACTATATCCGCTCTCCCCGGACCCCGCATTCACTATATCCGCTCTCCCCGGACCCCGCATTCACTATATCCGCTCTCTCCCCGGACCCCGCATTCACTATATCCGGTCTCCCCGGACCCCGCATTCACTATATGTGGTCTCCCCGGCCCCTGCATTCACTATATCCGGTCTCCCCGGCCCCTGCATTCACTATATCCGGTCTCCCCGGCCCCTGCATTCACTATATCCGGTCTCCCCGGCCCCTGCATTCACTATATCCGGTCTCCCGGCCCCTGCATTCACTATATCCGGTCTCCCCGGCCCCCGCATTCACTATATCCGGTCTCCCCGGACCCCGCATTCACTATATCCGGTCTCCCCGGACCCCGCATTCACTATATCCGGTCTCCCCGGACCCCGCATTCACTATATCCGCTCTCCCACAGTACACACAACATGGAAATGCAATTATTTTAGTAATTATAAACTGCTAAATACATTTTCTCATCAGCAGTATAGAGCAGTCTTGTGACTTCTATCAGTGTCCAGCTGAGCACTGGTTAATCTTGTAGGAGGAGTTTTCATTCTCCTCTGACTGTCCTATGAGGTTGCGTAAAACCTGAACCTCTGACTGGACAGTTGTGATTGACCCTGTGATCATATGTACAAAAAAAAAAACCCTCTAGCAATACACCCCAAACAGAGCTTGTGTATTCTTGCCACTGCACCTCTCTGGTATGGCAGATGGATTGGGAACTGTAGAAGGGAAGGATCAGAGAAGACAGGATCAAACAGCCTTTTTACACAGTGTGAAGGATTAACCCCTTAGGTTCCATAATGAGTATACCAAGCATGCTTTATTACATATACAGACTGATTTCACTGTTGTGGGTTTAGTAACACTTTAACCTGTAGGCAAAGCTCTCATGGTCTCGGGCTACCTGGAGCATTGTGGAGGTTTCATCTCATTAGAAACTGCATAGACACTTATTATTCAGACTGACCATGTTTGGTAGATATTTCAGCAAGGTAATTCATCGGCAGGCTACAGACAGGGATCAGTGCCTATATACTGTATGTAAGATCAAATATGTATACAATAGTATCATTAAATTTGTGCTTTTTTTTTAATTCATATTGGATAGACATGACTACCTCATGGCTATCCAATATGAATTAAAAAAAAACAAAACAAACAAAAACATATATAAATGGCATGTTTTAAATGCTGTCTGTGGTTAGGGGAGATTCCACCTCGCTTGTCCATGTGGGGAGACGGACAGGTAATGATGGGATTTCACTGAGACAGTAAGGTGCATCCCATAATAATGGGGTGTATGGTGAGGAAAGTCCTGGACAAGTTTTGTAAACTCTGAAAATTTTTAGATTTTATTTCAGATATGGATATTTTGTACATTGTTACATCGGTTCGGCGTGGATTGATGTAACTATATATCATACTCGGCATTCTCTGAATGGTGTGAAAAAAAAAAATCTTCACCCCCCACAAGTAGTACAGTGTCACTATGGTGACACTGTGCTGCTAGGGTGACAGCATGTAAAAAAACAAAACCATAAATAATATAAAAAAAATAAAAATGTAAAAGAAACATTTTGAAAAAATATAATTTTTGGTTATAAACTAATTTGGGTTATTTTTTTTTTTTTTTTTTTACTACAAAGATAGCCGAATACATTTTGGCCAAGATTTATGAAGAAAGCTTATTTATTTGCAAAATTTTATAAGAAACACTTTTTTTCAAAATTTTTGGACTTTTTCATTTATATAGCAAAAAAAATTAAAATCCCAGCGGTGAATAAATACCACCAAAATAAAGTTTTCTCCGTCTCAAAAAAATGCTAAAAAATTCATATGGGTACAGTGTTGCATGAACCGCGCAATTGTCATTCAAAGTGTGACAACGCTGAAAGCTGGAAATTGGCCTGGACTGGAAATGAAAGGCCGGACTGGAAGGGGGGGAAAGTGTCCGGACTGGAAGGGGGGGGAAAGTGTCCGGACTGGAAGGGGGGTGAAAGTGTCCGGACTGGAAGGGGGGGGGAAAGTGTCCGGACTGGAAGGGGGGGGGGGGAAAAGTGTCCGGACTGGAAGGGGGGGGAAAGTGTCCGGACTGGAAGGGGGGGGGAAAGTGTCCGGACTGGAAGGGGGGGGGGGGAAAGTGTCCGGACTGGAAGGGGGGGGGAAGTGTCCGGACTGGAAGGGGGGGGAAAGTGTCCGGACTGGAAGGGGGGGGGGGGAAAGTGTCCGGACTGGAAGGGGGGGGAAAGTGTCCGGACTGGAAGGGGGGGGAAAGTGTCCGGACTGGAAGGGGGGGGGGGGGGGGGGGGAAAGTGTCCGGACTGGAAGGGGGGGGGAAAGTGTCCGGACTGGAAGGGGGGGGGGAAAGTGTCCGGACTGGAAGGGGGGGGGGGGTCCGGACTGGAAGGGGGGAAAGTGTCCGGACTGGAAGGGGGGGGGGAAAATGTGTCGGACTGGAAGGGGGGGGGGGGTGAAAGTGTCCGGACTGGAAGGGGGGGAAAGTGTCCGGACTGGAAGGGGGGGGGAATGTGTCCGGACTGGAAGGGGGGGGGGGGGAAAGTGTCCGGACTGGAAGGGGGGGGGGGGGAAAGTGTCCGGACTGGAAGGGGGGGGGGAAAGTGTCCGGACTGGAAGGGGGGGGAAAGTGTCCGGACTGGAAGGGGGGGGGGGGGAAAGTGTCCGGACTGGAAGGGGGGGGGGAAGTGTCCGGACTGGAAGGGGGGGGGGGGAAATGTGTCCGGACTGGAAGGGGGGGGAAAAGTGTCCGGACTGGAAGGGGGGGGGGGGGAATGTGTCCGGACTGGAAGGGGGGGGAATGTGTCCGGACTGGAAGGGGGGGGGGGGGGGAAATGTGTCCGGACTGGAAGGGGGGGGGGGAAATGTGTGTCCGGACTGGAAGGGGGGGGGGGGAATGTGTCCGGACTGGAGGGGGGGGGGGGGGGGAATGTGTCCGGACTGGAAGGGGGGGGGGGGGGGATGTGTCCGGACTGGAAGGGGGGGGGGGGAATGTGTCCGGACTGGAAGGGGGGGGGGAATGTGTCCGGACTGGAAGGGGGGGGGGAGGGGGGGGGGAATGTGTCCGGACTGGAAGGGGGGGGGGAATGTGTCCGGCCTGGAAGGGGGGGGGGGGATGTGTCCGGACTGGAAAGGGGGGGGGGGATGTGTCCGATGGAAGGACTGGGGGGGGGAATGTGTCCGGACTGGAATGTGGGGGGAAGGGGGGGGGGGAATGTGTCCGGACTGGAAGGGGGGGGGAATGTGTCCGGACTGGAAGGGGGGGGGGGATGTGTCCAGACTGGAAGGGGGGGGGGGAATGTGTCTGGACTGGATCCGGAAGGGGGGGGGAACGTGTCCGGACTTGACGTGGTTAAAAAAACTTTTTCCTCTCTGCATTAATCATTCGGTTCCCCCATCAGATGGTGCACATGACATTTGCGTTTACCATGTTGGCATCTAAGCGTGTGACACATTTTGAATTTTTGTAATCACAAGCTTGATAAACTTGCATTGGGGGTAAAAAAATTACAAGAAAGTAATTTTTTTTTTCTACTTCCTATTTTTCTCAAATTTAAAATCTAGAAAATGAAAAATATAAGGATCAAAATCTGTTTCCAAATCAAATCCCTTTCTGTACCAATAAAGAAAAAAAATTATACATTTAAAGCAGAACTTCACCGCAATTGAGCCCCACAAAGCAAAAATGCTGTTTAATTTTTAATATTTAAATCAAACTCGCCCATCCCTCCATGTCTCCATGCTTTATTTTGCTGAGAAGTCGCATTGAAAACACCCCCCCCCCCCCCCAGCATTTCTGGCCACGACCATCTTGAGTAAGGGCAGATGATTCATGTAGCTTGTACATGTATGGAATCCATTTGCTCTTAGCTCAGCTTAGCTTAGAAAAGCCCTCCTCCCCTTCTGAAGACTCCTGGGTTGTATGACATCATTTGCCTAGGCATAGAAACCAGGAAGTAACTAAAGAAAGGTAAAAAAAAAAAAAAAAAGTTCAAACAAAAGTATATTATATTTACTTATCTATTTACCAATGCTAGCAGGATAGGGATTAAAAATGGTCAGTGTTGACTGAGAGGGTGAAGTTGCGCTTTAACCCCTTGTCTACAGGGCACTTCTACCCCTTTACTTACCAGGCCAATTTTCAGCTTTCAGCGGTCACACTTTGAATGACAATTGTGCGGTCATGCAACATTGTACTCATATGAAATTTTTATAATTTTTTTTCTCACAAATAGAGCTTTCTTTTGGTGTTATTTACTTGCAGCTGGGTGTTTATTTTTTGCGCTATAAACAAAAAAAGCGCAAAAAATTTGTAAAAAAAAAAAATGTCTGTTTCTTTTATAACTTTTTGCAAACAGGTAATTTCTCTCCTTCACTGATGTGCATTGATGAGGCTGCACTGATAGGCAGCACTGATGATGGGTACTGATAGTCGGCACTTGTGGGTGGCACTGCTGGACACTTGTGGGCGGAACTGGTGGGCGGCACTGCTGGGCACTTGTGGGCGGCACTGCTGGGCACACTTGTGTGGCGGCACTGCTGGGCACTTGTGGGCGGAACTGTTGGGTGGCACTGCTGGGCACTTGTGGGCGGAACTGGGTGGGTGGCACTGCTGGGCACTTGTGGGCGGAACTGTCTGGGGTGGCACTGCTGGGGCACCGATCAGGGCACTGATGATGGGTGCCGATCCCCGCTCTGACAACTGCCGAGTCTCGGCAGTACCTTCCTCACGCTCTGACAGCGTGAGGAAAGTGCAGCCGAGAACCTGGCAATTGCATTACCCGGTGATCAGCGTGTCACATCACGTGATCAGCTATGTCCGTAGGACACAGAGATCACGGAGATCGCCTGGTGTGCGCCCCGGGGGGCGCGCAGGAGAGCATGTTCTGGTAGGACGTCATATGACGACCTACCAGAACTGGCCGGCCGCAGTGCAGCCGTCATTCGGCTACCTGCGGTCGGCAACTGGTTAAGGAAGACCACAAAAGTGGAAAGTTTTATATGGTGGGCAACAGACTCCTCTGGAAAGGGAGAAGAAGGTTCTGGGGCCAAAGTGGTTCAAGTTAGGTTTACCAGAAGCACTTCAGGGGTTTGAGGGCCCCCATTCACTGGGGCTACAACTACAAGAGGGCAATATAGAAACTATCATAAATGTTTATAAGGGTCAGTCCCAATCTGAACTGAAGTACTCTTTTGTCTCTGTAATCTTGCCATGTAGCCCATTTAACTGTTCTTGTCCCCTAGGGCCCCCGGACCCGCTCAGTAAAGGCCGTCCGCCGTCATGCCTGCGCTTCCATTATCAAGATTTGCCGCGATACTCCGGATCTGGTTCTGGTATGTGGTGTGGTCCATGTGGACTGGGTGTAGGTTGGTTCTGCTTTGTAAGTCATCTATCGCATAACAAGAACCCATTTAGCGACCCAATTTTGATAAGCCTGTATGGTCTATGTGGCCTGGGTGTGGAGAGGGGTGGCATGCACATGTATCATGATTTATCACATGACGAACCCCTTAGTGACCCATTTTTGGTGTGGCAAGCCATGGGCTCACAGCATTTTTGCTAACCTCCTGTATCCTCATCCTTCAGCCTCACTTTACCCTCCTAAGCTCACACGCCACGCTCCTGTTTATGGATGAGCGTCTCACTCAAATGGAGAAATATTCCATGCTGGAAGCCCAGGTGATGATCAGCAACCACTTCAACAACTACGAGAAGCAGCGAGACTTCCTGGCGCAGCTGCTGAGTCCGGCCATCTCTGTCTGGTCATCCCAGGAAATTCAAAGGTGAGAGGATTCTGTGTACAAAAACAATGTGCTTTATAATATATGGTGGAAGGTCCTGATGATTGAAATTCTGTCCTCCCACAGAGCCATCTCCTCCCCTGAAGAATTAATTTCTTATGTGGGAGCTGAAATCCTGAAAGGACTGGAGGAAGTGGAGAGTCCATGCCAGGCCAACCGCTCTCAGGTAAGTGTCCACTGTCTGCTATAACCCGCTGCCAGGTTGATGTGCACTATCACCCACTGCCAGGTATGACATTCTGCCATGTTAGCGCCAGGTATGACATTCAGCCACGCTAGTGCCCACTGTCAACTGTGACCCACTCTCAGTTGAGTACTTGCTGCCAGGTTAGCGCCCACTGTCCACTGTTGCTCCCTCTCAGGTGAGTACCTACTGTCTGCTTGCATCCATAATGGTGTAACCTTGGTGAAACCTGTTTAACCACTTGAGGCAGGAAAAGCATACTCACAAACCAAAAAGGTCATAAAAACAGAGACAAGGAGTCAAAGATGCCAGTCATGGGCAGTGGAAGTCCTCGGGTAAAAGGGTTAACAAGTACTGGTGAAACTCGAAAAATTAGAATATGGTGCAAAAGTTCATTTATTTCAGTGCAGCAACTTAAAAGGTGAAACTAATATATGAGACTCATTACATGCAAAGCAAGATAGTTCAAGCCGTGATTTGTCATCATTGTGAGGATTATGGCTTACAGCTCAAATGAGAATATTCCATGCAATCAATAAAACACGGATTGTACGTAGAACAATATCGGACCTCTGAAAAGTAGAAGCTGCATATGTACTCAGTACTTGGTTTGGGCCCCTTTTGCAGCAATTACTGCCTCAATGCGGCGTGGCATGGAAGCTATCAGCCTGTGGCACTGCTGAGGTGTTATGGAAGACCAGGATGCTTCAATAGCGGCCTTCAGCTCTTCTGCATTGTTCGGTCTCATGTCTGTCATCTTTCTCTTGGCAATGCCCCATAGATTCTCTATGGAGTTCAGGTCAGGCGAGTTTTGCTGGCCAATCAAGCACAGTAATCCCACGGTCATTGAACCAGGTTTTGGTGCTTTTGGCAGTGTGGGCGTTGCCAAGTCCTGCTGGAAAATGAAGTCAGCATCCCCATAAAGCTCGTCTGTGGAAGGAAGCATGAAGTGCTCCAAAATCTCCTGGTAGACGGCTGCGTTGACCCTGGACTTAATGAAGCACAGTGGGCCAACACCAGCAGATGACATGGCTCCCCAAATCAACACAGACTGTGGAAACTTCACACTGGACTTCAAGCATCTTGCAGTGTGTGCCTCTCCATTCTTCCTCCATACTCGGGGTCCTTGGGCCTCTCCATTCTTCCTCCATACTCGGGGTCCTTGTGCCTCTCCATTCTTCCTCCATACTCGGGGTCCTTGGGCCTCTCCATTCTTCCTCCATACTCGGGGTCCTTGGGCCTCTCCATTTTTCCTCCATACTCGGGGTCCTTGTGCCTCTCTATTCTTCCTCCATACTCGGGGTCCTTGGGCCTCTCCATTCTTCCTCCATACTCGGGGTCCTTGGTTTCCAAATGAGATGCAAAAGTTGCTCTCATCAGAAAAGAGGACTTTGGACCACTGAGCAACAGATGAGGTCTGTTTTTCTTTAGCTCAGGTAAGACGCTTCTGACATTGTTTATTGTTCAGGAGCAGCTTGACAAGAGGAATACGACATTTGAAGCCCATGTCCAGCATCCGTCTGTGTGTGGTGGCTCTTGATGCACTGACTCCAGCCTCAGTCCACTCCTTGTGAAAGTCCCCAACACTTTTTTGTATGGCCTTTTCCTGACAATCCTCTCCAGGCTGCGGTCATCCCTGCTGCTTGTGCACCTTTTTCTTCCACACTTTTCCCTTCCACATAACTCTCTATTAATGTACTTTGATACAGCACTTTGGGAACATCCAACTTTTTCTGCAATTACCTTTTGAGGCTTTCGCTCCTTATGGAGGGTGTCAGTGATGGTGTCAGGTCAGCAGTCTTTCCCATGATTGTGATTCCTACTGAACCAGACTGAGAGACCATTTAAAGGCTCAGGAACCCTTTGCAGGTGTTATGGCTGACTTATCTGATTAGAGTGGGACACTTTGAGCCGAGATTATTCCACCTTTTCACAATATTCCCATTTTCTGAGATTGTGGATTTGGGGTTTTCATGAGCTGTAAGCCATAATCATCACAATGATGACAAATCATGGCTTGAACTATCTTGCTTTGCATGTAATGAGTCTCATATATTAGTTTCACCTTTTAAGTTGCTGCACTGAAATAAATGAACTTTTGCACCATATTCTCCTTTTTCGAGTTTCACCTGTATGTTGTCCTCCTTTTATGCTTTTTGAATATATATATGCTTTTACGTTCATTTCAGTATATTTTTTAGACATTTTTATTGATATATTATTTTTTTTTTTATATATTGTGAAATTTTATATTTTTTTATATGCTTTTTTTTTTATATGCTGTTTCAAATGCAAATTGTTCTGTTATTATCAGTACTTTTATGACTATTTATCAATGCCATTAATAATCTCGGGTACTTGGCGGTAGTGGAGACCCTCCTCATCTCTCTGTGTTCTCATGGAGTGTATCCTGGGCTTTTTTGTTTCCCTCCTCTCTTTTTAAGATCATTCTGATCCTCTTTCTATAAATTAATTTTGGGCTTTTAATAGCGCCGCTGTTGTCTCCTTTATCGGAGGCCACTGTATTTGCCAATACTCGCCCCCCCCTTCATTGCACACTTCCACCATCAGCATTAGTCACTTCCAGATATTGGCCGGAGAGTGATGAAAGCTTCTGCGCATGCGCGATCGACACATTCACCCAGCACGCATGCGCAATGTCCGCGGATCGTTTTACATGCTTCCGGAATCCAGTGACACACATTTGTATTGGCATGCTCATTTATACATACAATTTAGACGCCATGACAGTCAGCCCGTTCATCTACCCCAAATAGAGCCAGGTGTCTTTGCAGTTTAAAGGAGCAGATCAGTTTCATCCTTGTGCATTGTAGATGCACAGAGTAAAGTCACATTTACAGTATATCCTAGGCGCTGTGATCAGTCCATCTGGTAAGCACTTTTTATTGCCGTATTACAGTCATCTACTATATGCCCATTTAAGTTTGGGACAACTCCTCTTTTAGGGTGTCACTCGCAGGATTCCGCCCCCTTTTTTTGCACAGAGAGGGAATGGCTGGAGTCTCATCACTTAGTTTCATATTTAACCATTTCCATACCGGGCAATTTTCCCCCTTCCTGCCCAGGCCAGTTTTCAGGTTTCAGCGCTCTCACACTTTGAATGACAATTGCGCGGTCATACAACATTGTACCCAAACTAAAATTTTATAATTTTCTTCACACAACTAGAGCTTTCTTTTGGTGGTATTTAATCACCGCTGGGGTTTTTATTTTTTGCTAAATTAATTCCGCAAATTTTGAAAAAAAAAACACATTTTTCTTTGTTTCTGTTGTAAAAGTTTACAAATAAATAATTGTTCTTCATAAATTTAGGCCGAGATGTATTCTGCTACATGTCTTTGGTGAAAATAACCCAAATTAGGATGTATTACTTAGTTTGTAGTTCACAAACTATGGGATAGACCTGAATATTGATCAATCCTGAAGTACTGACGGCCAATCTAATTTGAGGTCCAAGAAAGTCAGAATAGTACAGATATCCCCCAAATGTCAGAACAGTACAGTTATCCCCCAAATGTCAGGACAGGACAGATATCCCCCAAATGTCAGGACAGGACAGATATCCCCCAAATGTCAGGACAGGACAGATATCCCCCAAATGTCAGGACAGGACAGATATCCCCCAAATGTCAGGATGGTACAGATATCCCCAAATGACCCCTTTTTGCAGAGTAGACAGTCCGACGTACTTCATAAGAGGAATGGCGAGTTTTTTGAAGTTGTATTTTTTTTGTCATAATTTTTCGGAAAATGAAAAAATTAAAAAAATTATATTCACTATTTTTTTTTTTTTTACATACTGTCACCAGTGCAGTACAGCGTCATCATATAACTGGCATGGCAGTGATCAGGGACACTGACTGGTGACAGTATGAAAAAAAAATATATATATATTTTTTTTTCATTATTTTTAATTTTTTATTACTTTTTTTTTATTTTTTTTTTCATATTTTACTATGACCAAAGTAGTACAATGTTACCATAGTAAAATTGTACTACTTTGGGGAAGTGATCAGTATAATTTGCTTATAGCAAAGAATTACTTTGCTATAAGCAAGCATTTACCTGAATGAAATCGATTCATTCAGGGTTTTTTTTTTTTTTTTTTTTGTGCTTAGCTGTGATTTGGCCACAGCTAATCACATGACATGTGCATGTGACCTGCTGTGACCATTCACAGCTAGGCACTAGTATACAATGGATGACATGAATGAAGCCATCCATTGTATACAACTGTCATGTGACCTGCTGTGATTGGTCACAGCAGGTCACATGGTACCGGCAACGGGGGCCGGTACTCAGATCTGTCATCGGCCGTGTCCGAGGTACACAGCTAGTGACAGATCGCGCTGCTGCGCTGCTCTGCAACCGCGCATGTGCGGGAGGATGCCAAATGGCGTATACCCCGGAAATCTGCAGCACTTTTGCGGCCGCCAAACGGCTATAGGCCGGGTGGCTAATGGGTAAGAACCATCCTTATGCATTGTGTTTTATCTATTGCTCTGAGGAAAGGAGTTCGACTCCCGAAACACAAAAAGCTCCCCAAACCAATGACTGTTTTTGAATAGCATATATGCATAAAAAGCAGCAGTATATTTTCTCAATTCATGGTAGGTGCTGCTTTTTTTTTTCCCACCTCTTAGGTTCTGTGCACCATACCCTTGTCCCCTTCACCCTTGTTATCCACCTCCGGACTGAGATCTCTGCTCTGAATGATAGGCTTCTGATGTCTCCAGTCATGAACTTGATAATGTTCCTCTTCGGTAATCTCACATCTGCTGTCTTTCTGCATATTTTTGTGTTGACAGCTGAGTTTCGCCTTGTATACGGTGGAAGGGGTGCTGCGAAGAGCCCGATGGCCCAGTGATCCAGAGACAGCAAAAGCTGGCGGATTTGTCGTTGGTTACACTCCAGAAGGAAACCCCATTTATCGCAACCCGTGCAGTGAGCATGTGCTAAAACTTCTGGACAGCATCCTCTCCCTGGTGCGGTGAGTGTCTGCTCCCATTCTTCATTCTGTGAATATACAGCCAGGGGTATCCTCCTTGCAAGCTTGTTCCATGGTAGTGAAGCGAGGATGAGGATGGCATCCTGGAGCGTGCGCATTTAAAGACAAACTAAAGTCAAAACTGTAACTCACTGGGATTGATTTACTAAAACTGCATGGAGTGAAAAATCTGGTGCAGCTCTGAATAGTAACCAATCAGCTTCCAGGTTTTAGTGTCAAAGCTTAACCACTTCCAGTCCGGACACTTTCACCCCCTTCCAGTCCAGGCCAATTTTCAGCTTTCAGCGCTATCACACGTTGAATGACAATTACACGGTCATGCAACACTGTACCCATATGAATTTGTTAGCATTTTTTTCAGACAGATAAAGTTTATATTGGTGGTATTTATTCACCACTGGGATTTTTATTTTTTATGCTATGTAAATGAAAATGTCCAAAGATTTTGAAAAAAAGTGTTTTTCTAATAAATTGTGCAAATAAACATTTCATCATAAATCTTGGCCAAAATTTATTCTGTTATCTTTTTAGTAAAAAAAAAAATGCAATAACCCAAATTAGTTTATAACCAAAAATTATAATTTTTAAACCTTTTTTTTTAAATTTTTATGTATATTTTTTTTAACATACTGTCACCCTAGCAGTACAGTGTCACCATGGTGACACTATACTACTTGTGGGGGGAGATGTTTTTTTTTTTTTTTTTTACACTGATTACTTTTACACCCATAAAGGCTGTAAAAGCAATCATTTCTCCTTCTCTCTAGCTGCATTCTTGCAGCCATTGAGAACTACTGTGTGAGCTGTGATTGGTCACAGCTTGTCACCTGGTACAAGGCTGTTGTGAATAGCCCTGTACCATGTGACCTCTGTGATCATTCACAGATTTCACACGTAGTAAGCAATGATGTCAGAAGTGACATCTTGCTTACTACTCTGCATGTGATCACTGATTGGCCAATTAGTGATCACATGATCGGGACCTTACACCGAGGTCCCGTCTGACGATCGGTATTCTACTGTGTCCGGAGGACACAGCGGGCACCGGATCGCGGTGCTGTGCGCTCCAAGGGAGTGCGCACAAGCAGGGTGCAGGGAGGCCGTTTATAAATGGCCACTCGACCCTGCACTGCCACCGTCCAGCCATTTATATACATGGGCCGGATAGGAGGTGGTTAATTGAGTTAGCTGAAGTTAGAAGCTGATTGGCTACCATGCACAGCTGCACCAGATTTTGCACTCCAGTTTTAGTAAATCAACCCCACTGTCTTGCCAAGTGCTTTAGAAATGAATGGGAGACTCCTAGAATAGCGCAGGTGCCAAGTGGCCGACATCCTGTGTTCACAATGCAGGAGAGCAGCAGCAATCAAGTTGACAGGTTCACCTTAAATGACCATTCCTCATACATGCGCTTCCTCATCTAAATAATTACCTACCCAACCCAAAGTGCCTCTAACCTTTCTCATTCTTTGACCCGGTACACCGTCTTTCTTCTCCTCAGGTCATTCAACAATCTGTACCTTCCAGAGGTTGTCCAGAAGATGGGTGATTTCTATGCCAAGTGTTTGGATGTGATGGAGATGGAGAAGAAGTGCATCTTGGGTAAGTAACAGGCCTGTGATAGTTGTATGCAGAGATTTATATGCGTCTTTCCACTCCCTGATGTTGTATTCCACTTGTAGGGTTGACACAGCCCGTCCTGGACACATATGACGTCCCCGTGTACCGGAGCTCCGAGGAGAGGATGCAAGGCTTCTTCTGCACCATGTATGACAGCTGGTGAGTCCTGCTCTGCCACAGTTATGTGTTCTGTTCCCGATGGCGGAGTTCTCATTAATTTATCCCCATTTCAGTTACCAGGTCATGGGAAACCTCGGACCATCCTTGTCGCAGGACTTTTATTCTATTCCGGATCTGGCCACTCGCCTGGTTAATTCGGCCTTCTGCAATCTCAGCAATGTACCGGACTTCCGCCTGCGAGCCATGCTGCATATCCTTCAGTGCTGGAGAGATTTGGGAGGGAATTTGGCCCTGATGCATGGAGGGTAGGGTGGAAGGAGGGATGTGGGCATTGGCACTTATATTTTAGGTCAACTGTATTTTTATTTATTTTCAATTTAAACAGTGTCTGTACAAAAGCACTTTGATATATAGATATCAAGAACAATTCATTGAGCATTAAAAAGACATTTGTCACCGTGTCCACACAGGGCAAAGTGACATTGCCGTCGCAAAGCCCCCTGTCCCCCCATATACTCCCCTTGACCACGCTCCTTCCTGTGGTGCAGCCGGTGCTAAAACTTGCAGTGTCTGTGATGCATTAGAACAGCGATATCGTTTCATCTGTCATGTGACAGTACTTAGGGCCAGAAATTGGCTGTTAGGCCCCAGGTCTGTCACACTAGAGCAGGTCATGGTGAAGGAGTGCAGGTAAGATTAGTAGTTGGAACATGGGTGGGGTGAAGATGGGGGAAGGGTTGCAGAGACACAGGGACAGAGCTCTTTAACCACTTCCAGACCGGACACTTTTACCCCCTTCCTGACCAGGGCAATTTTCAGCTTTCAGCGCTATCACACTTTGAATGACAATTGCGCGGTCATGCAACACTGTACCCAAATGAATTTTTTACCATTTTTTGAGACAAATAAAGCTTTATTTTGGTGGTTTTTATTCACCGCTGGGATTTTTATTTTTTTTGCTATGTAAATGAAAGAGTCCAAAAATTTTGAAAAAGTGTTTTTTTTTATAAAATTTTGCAAATAAATAATATTTCATCAGAAATCTTTGCCAAAATTATTCCCATTATCTTTTTAGTAAAAAAAAAAAATCTAAATTAGTTCATCACCAAAAATTATAATTTTTAAACTTTTTTTTTTTTACATTTTTACTTTATTTTTTATATTTTTTATTTTTTATATATGGTCACCCTAGCAGTACAGTGTCACCATGGTGACACTGTACTACTTGTGGGGGGTGAGGAAGATTTTTTTTTTTTTTTTTACACTGATTGCTTTTACACCCATATAGGATGTAAAAGCAATCATTTCTCTTCTCTCTGTGTGCATTCTTGCACTCATTGAGAAGTACTGAGTGAGCTGTGATTGGTCACAGCTTGTCACAAGGTACAAGGCTGTTGTGAATAGCCCTGTACCATGTGACCTCTGTGATCATTCACAGATTTCACACGTAGTAAGCAATGATGTCAGAAGTGATACCTTGCTTACTACTTTGCATGTGATCACTGATTGGCCAATCAGTGATCACATGATCGGGACCTCGTACAGAGGTCCCGTCCGACTATCGGTGTTTCACTGTGTCCGGAGGACACAGCGGGCACCGGATTGCGGTGCTGCGCGCTCCCAGGGAGCACACACAAGCAGGGTGCAGGGAGGCCATTTATAAATGGCCACCCGACCCTGCACTGCCACCGTCTGGCCGTTCATATGCAATGGCCGGTTGGGAAGTGGTTAAGAGACTCTGTAAGCAGATCATTTCAACAATTCTTGCCATAAGATTATGGGGGAGGTTTACCAATTCTGGTGCAGCTGTGCATAATAACCAATCGGCTTCTAATTTCATCTTGTTCAATTAGCCACTTTCCCTCTGCTCTATAGCGGTTTTACTGCTACAGGGTGGCATTCCTGTAAATAAAAATCACGTAAATATACGTGATTTTGCACTCCCGCCACCTGGGGGTGCACCCGCCGCTGGAGGAAATCTTCTGTTGTGAACCGTCACAGCACAAAACTATCTATGGCACCTGCAGATCGTCGAGCAAGGCTACGGCTATGTTTACAAAGCCATAGCTTTGTTGCGACAGGAAGGAGTCATGAATCGTGTCTCTCCGCAGAGCTGAGAACCTGATCCATCGCTTTCCCTAGTAAAAGCACCACCTAGTGTACACCAAGCACATAGCTAGGCGCACACTTAACCCTTTGTTCACACTAGATGTTAACCCCTTCCCAACCAGTGTCATTAGTACAGTGATCAGAGCATATTTTTAGCGCTGATCACTGTATTAGTGTCGCTGGTTCCCACAAAGCGTCAGTATAAAAATGTCTGCCGCAATATCACAGTCCCGCTAAAAGTCGCTGATCGCCGCCATTACTAGTATAAAAAAAAAAACATTCCAGTATATGTACCATAATTTGTAGATGCTATCATTTTTGCGCAAACTAATCAATATACAATTATTGGGATTTTTTTACCAAAAATATGTAGCAGAATACCTTTTGGTCTAAATTTTAAGGAGAAATTTGATTTTTAACTTTTTTTTTTTTTTTTTTATTGGATATAGTTAGTCTGGCTGAAAAAAGACAAAAGTCCATCCAGTTCAACCATATGTTTTATAGCCTTAAATAGATTTTTAAAAAAAACCAAAATATATATATATATATATATATTATTTTATATATATATATTTTTTTTTTTTTTTTTCTCCAAATTTGTCAGTCTTTTTTTAACGTAAAAACTGAAGAGGTGATTGAATACCACCAAAAGAAAGCTCTATTTGTGGGAAAAAAACTACCTCAATTTCATTTGGGTACAGCATTGCATGACCGGGCAATTGTCCGTTAAAGTAACGCAGCGCCGTATCGCAAATGGCCTGGTCAGGAAGGGGGGAGGGAATCTTCTGGAGGGCAAGTGGTTAAGCTTTGACAAAAAAACTTAGAAGCTGATTGGTTACTGTGCAGAGCTGTACCAGATTCTGTGCACCAGGTTTAGTAAATCTGCTCCCATATTTGTATTTTTCCTTACTGTATGCATGATATTTACCCGTAAAAGCCTCCTTTGTGTTGACATCCAAAGGCCCTAAGCTTCCACTGTGCGCCACCATCTTGGATGTGATGTCAGCAGCCCCAGGCGATTCAAGGTTAGAGGGGTAATCAGATGGCACCAGATGGGCGAAGAGGTTTTTAAAAATGTGATATAGAGAGCAAAGAGAGGTGAATATAGGTGGCACAGGGGTAAGATGGTCAATGGGGCGGAGAGGGGTGATATAGATGTCACAGCAATAATATGTCGGTATGGGGAGAGGATCCTCTGATGTACAAACATTGGGATTGGAACATTTCTTTTTGCCAAGATACGGGGGTTGATTTACTAAAACCGGAGAGTGCATAATTTGGTGCTGCTCTGCAAAGAAACCAATCAGCTTCCAGATTTTGTCCAACCTTATTTAAACAAGCTGAAGTTAGAAGCTGATTGGCTACCATTCTCAGCTGCACCAGATTTTGCACTCTCCAGTTTTAGTAATTCAGTTGCCCTGGTCACCTATTTTTCCTTAACGTCCTATCTGCACGTCTGTTTGTGAAGCCGCTTATCCTGTCCTGTCCTCCAGAGAGGTACGAGAGCCTTATATGCCCCATCGTGGGTCCGCTACTGAACTTCCTGCACCAGGTAAGAAAACTGCTTGGTTTCTGTCCTGTTAGTAGTGAGCTCTTCACCATGTTGACACTATTTATTTATTACAGGTACTTGTATAACGCTGTAAATTTACTCAGCGCTATATATATATTATACACTATATATTACTCTGTGTATATATGTGTGTGTGTGTGTATATATACCGTATTATGCCGTGTGTATATACGTGTGTGTACTTATCCTGTATAAATGTGTGTGTGTGTGTGTTGGGCTATATACCGTATTTGCCGCCGTATAAGACTACCCCTCTTTTCCAATGCAAAATGTAGTGAATTTGCCCCATCATTGATATCGTGGGAGGAATAGTACCCCTCTTCATTGCACATTAGTGATAGGAATAGTGCCCTATCATTAGTATCAGTGGCAGGAATAGTGCCCCATCATTGGTATCAGTGGGAGGAATAGTGCCCCATCATTGGTATTAGTGGGAGGAATAGTGCCCCATCATTGGTATCAGTGGGGGAATAGTATCCCAACATTGTATCAGTGGGGGAATAGTGCCCCATCATTGGTATCAGTGGGGGAATAGTATGCCCCATCATTAGTGTCAGTGGGGGAATAGTGCCCCATCATTGGTATCAGTGGGGGGGGAATAGTGCCCCATCATTGGTGTCAGTGGGGGGAGGAATAGTGCCCCATTATTGGTGTCAGTGGGGGGGGGAGGAATAGTGCCCCATCGTTGGTGTCAGTGGGGGGGAGGAATAGTGCCCCATCGTTGCTGTCAGTGGAGGAATAGTGCCCCATCATTGGTATCAGTGGGAGGAATAGTGCCCCATCATTGGTGTCAGTGGGAGGAATAGTGCCCCATCATTGGTGTCAGTGGGGGGGGGAATAGTGCCCCATCATTGGTGTCAGTGGGAGGAATAGCGCCCCATCATTGCTATCAGTGGGAGGAATAGTGCCCCATCATTAGGTGACACCAATGATGGGGGAATTCCTAGTGCCCCATACATTGGTGTCATGATGGCTGCAGACAGCATATGTGGTTGCAGCAGCACCTCTACACTCATTGCTGGTATCGTTTTTCGGCCCCGCGAAAATCGCGCCGCCCCCCATAAAAGTGTCAGTATGCCGTCAGTGGGATAAGACGACCCCCGACTCATTGGAAGATTTTCAGGGTAAAAAGTCGTCTTATACGCCCAAATCATGGTTATGTGTGTGTGTATATGTATAGTGTATACCAATGATGGGCACTATATATATATATATCCCACTGACACTATATTAGACCTATTTTTATTTATTTCAGGTATAGCGCCGTCAATTTACGCAGCACTTTACATATATATTGTACATTCACATCAGTCCCTAACCCTCAAGGGGCGTACAATCTAAGGTCCCTAACTCACATTCATACATACACATACTAGGGACAATTTAAACAGGAGCCAATTCACCTACCAGCATGTCTTTGGACTGTGAAAGGAAACTGAGTACCCAGGAAACCTGAACAGGGAAAACATGCAAACTCCAGGCAGGTGGTGCCGTGGTTGGGATTTGAACCAGCGACCCTAGTACTGCCAGGTGAAAGTGCGAACCATTCAGACACGGTGCTGCCCACTGAAGAATGGCTGAACAGATGCCTGGATAAGCTGCAGATTTTAGCCATGACTACTACAGTGATGGTAGCAGTCTTCCAGGTCCTGTGTCCCGGAAGACAGGATACAGGAAAATCTGTGCAGCACACTGCACTGCACTGTGTCCCCTTAGGCTTGGATGGGCTCTTTACCAAGACTTTGTATACTGAGTACTAAACAGGGTTTCATTTCATCTAATAGGCTGCAAATACCAGTGGAGGCCACAGCTTTGCAACAAAGCCAAAAAAGCACCTTGGGGGGGGGGGGGGGGGGGGGGGGGGGGGGGGAATTTTAGATCATCTTAAAATAAAGGTACAGATGATGTGTAATGTTAATCAGGTAAATATGAATTTCTATATGGAAAATGGTCCTATTTTTCCCTTGCTTTAAGCAGGTAGCACCCTTGAGACTTTTTGAATTGAATTAACACATTGGCAGACCGCATAGAGGTGATGCTGGGCTCTCATTAGGAAATTGGGAAAGTCCAGCATGCTTTGCAAGCAGTGACTTAGATTCTTACTGCAATACATATTTTTGGAAAATGTTTTGCTGCATGCAATTCACATAAAATTTTGCTTTACAAAACTTGAAAAAAAATGTAAATTATAACCCACAAAACTGTTCTAATTTTTAATCATATCCTCCTTTTTTGTCTCTTCCAGAGATTGTCACAAAAATGGTTAACAAGGTTAGTACTCAGCGGGTCTGGGGGGGGGGGGATTAGTAGAATGATGGAGGAGGATGGATGATGGAGGGGGAGGAAGATAGAAGGAAAGGTGGAAGAGAAGGATGGATGAATATATAGGGGAGTGAGATGGAAGGGTGCGTGGAGCAGAATGGATGGATGGAGAGAATTAGTGGAGTGTGGAAGAGGAAGATTGGAGAAGGACTGGTGATGGAGAAAGATGAGCAGAGAAGGGCAGGTTATGGAATTAGATGAGAGAAGAAAAAAGTGGGAAGGATGGATGGAGTGAAAAGATGAAAGGACAGGAGGAGGAGAAAGACGGATGGGTAGATTGAGGTAAGGGATGGAAGAAAGTATGGAGTAGAAAAATGGGATGGAGGGGAGAGATGGAGACCAGTGGATAAGGGGGGAGAGATGGAGACCAGTGGATAAGGGGGGAGAGATGGAGACCAGTGGATAAGGGGGGAGAGATGGAGACCAGTGGATGAGGGGGGAGAGACGGAGACCAGAGGATGAGGGAGAGAGAGACGGAGACCAGTGGATGGGGGGAGAGGTGGAGACCAATGGATGAGGGGGGGGAGAGCCGGAGACCAGCTCACGGTAGGGGAGAGGCGGGGGACCAGCGCACGGTAAGGGGAGAGGCAAAGACCAGCGCGCGGTAGGGGGGGAGAGGCGGAGACCAGCGCACGGGAGGGGGAGAGGCGGAGACCAGCGCACGGGAGGGGGAGAGGCGGAGACCAGCGCACGGGAGGGGGAGAGGCGGAGACCAGCGCACGGGAGGGGGAGAGGCGGAGACCAGCGCACGGGAGGGGGAGAGGCGGAGACCTGTGGATGGAGGACCTATGGAGCTCAGTATTGCACCTCGTTTTTCTAAATGTAAAAGCTGATATCTGGGCTCTAGGGCCCTCCAGTGCTTACATTCTTGGCTTAGGCCGAGGTGAACTGTTGCAGTGGGCATGTTGTCTAAAACAGTCGCCATATTTGACTGAGGGGTAATGGTTTTTCTCAGCAGTGGAGAAGATTATGGAGACTTGAACACAGAATCATCAGAGATCCTGGAAATCGAGCTGACACGGCTGCTGACCAGAGAAATGGTGGATCTGCTTGGTAAGTCCTTTAGATACTTGCAAATAACAGAAGTAGAACCAGTGTTCTTCCCGTGTGTGTTTATGGCACCAGGTATTAAGAGTCCCTCTTCTCCTGTTCTCTGTATGATGCCAGTTACGTGCTGCGTGGCCAAGAAAACCAGTGAGCAAAGCACAAACAAAGCAGAGGTGGACGGACTGCGGGGTGTGAATCAGCCTGAAGCAGAGGGTAAGAGAACATAGAATAATTAACATCATTTATTTCTGAAGAGATATATAGTGACTGTAAACATAGCCTTTCATTATGGTCAGGATTACAAAAATATCGTGTGGTGTTTTATATAGCCAGCAGATGATGTTTACATCCCACATCATTAGCATGATTCCATTTCAGCTGTGAATGAGGCATAACAGCAGTGACTCCATGCTGCTCAGTCCCACATTTTAATCAGACAAATAGAGCCTCATAGCAATTTGTGACTGCTTTAGCTAACTCATGGTGCTCTGGGAGTCCTTTGTCATATATTGAATGTTTATCTCTAAAACAAAGACGTGTATAATACAGTGAAAGAAAATCCTAAATCAAGAGTAAAGTTAAAAATAAAATTGACACAAAACCAAAAAAAAACCCTGTAGGCCAGCCTGCAATAACTCCTCCCACTACCAGTATGCTTCTGTTTTTCATCCTCCATTTTCCATCTTTCCAGCACTGTCTTCCTCAGTCTTGGTGGGGGGGAATTGGGGGGTGGGGGATGGGGTTCCGGTGCCCACATTCTTTTAAAGGTTCTGGACGTGTCTTCTGGTGTTGCTTACATCTGCAGTCTGGGGTAATGTTACGTCATTATCGTAGTCTCTCATGTCCTCGGAGCCCTTTTTGGGTCTGTCTTGTGTTTGGACCCTCTGCCCAGTCAGCTGATTATTTTTTTTTTTTGCCAGTCATGCAAAGGTTTTAGGAGCCAAATTTCCAGGGCGCACCAATAGGACAGCAGAGCCTAAGAAAAATAGTGGCTTGGGCTGCGCTACTGGAGGCCCCTGGAGGCAATCCAGTAGTTAGAGGTGCCAAATTGCTACCATCGGACAATCAACAGTTGGTTTATCAGATTTATATAACCCCCCCATTGCTGTATGCCATAGGTCTGAGGCAGCAAATGGGCTAAGGGTGATTAACCACTTGCCGTCCGCCTGCTGTTTATAAACGGCAGGGCGGTGGCAGTCCAGGGGCGGGTTGCCGTTCATAAACGGCACCCACCTTTTCTAGCTGTGCGCGCTCCCTGGGAGCGTGCAGCACCGCAATCCGGTGCCCGCTGTGTCCTTTGGACACAGTGAAACCCCCGATCGTCGGACGGGACCTCTATACGAGGTCCCGATCATGTGATCACATGCAAAGTAGTAAGCAAGATGTCACTTGTGACATCATTGCTTACTACGTGTGAAATCTGTGAATGATCACAGAGATCACATGGTACAGGGCTATTCACAACAGCCTTGTACCATGTGACAAGCTGTGACCAATCACAGCTCACTCAGTACTTCTCAATGACTGCAAGAATGCAGACAGAGAGAAAGAGAAATGATTGCTTTTACATCCTATATGGGTGTAAAAGCAATCAGTGTAAAAAAAAAAAAAATCTTCACCCCCCACAAGTAGTACAGTGTCACCATGGTGACACTGTACTGCTAGGGTGACAGTATGTAAAAAAATAAAATAAAAAATAATATAAAAAAATAAAAATGTAAAAAAAATTTAATTAATTTTTGGTTATAAACTAATTTTGCATTTTTTTTTTTTTTTACTAAAAAAATAACGGAATAAATTTTGGCCAAGATTTATGATGAAATAATATTTATTTGCAAAATTTTATTAAAAAAAAACAAACACTTTTTTCCAAAATTTTTAGACTTTCATTTACATAGCAAAAAAAAATAAAAATCCCAGTGGTGAATAAATACCACCAAAATAAAGATTTTTCTGTCTCAAAAAAATGTTAAAAAATTCATATGGGTACAGTGTTGCATGACCGCGCAATTGTCATTCAAAGTGTGATAGCGCTGAAAGCTGAAAATTGGCCTGGACAGGAAGGGGGTGAAAGTGTCTGGAAGGGGGTGAAAGTGTCCGGACTGGAAGGGGGTGAAAGTGTCCGGACTGGAAGGGGGTGAAAGTGTCCGGACTGGAGTAGGGGGTGGAAAGTGTCCGGACTGGAAGGGGGTGAAAGTGTCCAGACAGGAAGTGGTTAACACCTCTATTTGACATTGCATGGCAATATATTTACAGTGATATTAAAGGCTTTTTTTTTAAAATAATAAACCTGTTATACTTACCTAGGATTTTACACAAAGCAGCCCTGATCCTCCTCTTGTTGGTCCCCTGCCGGCACTGCTAGCTCCTCCCCCCTGCTGAATGATCCCAGAGCAAGCCTCTTGCTATTGAGGCACTTGTGCATGCGTGCTCTGTGTGTCCATAAGAACAGGGCTTGGCTCAGCCTCCACTTCCTCCTCACTGGCTGTGATTGACATCAGCGGGAGCCAATGCTATGTCTAAGCGAATGAGGAGGCAGAGAGCTGGGACAGTAGCTGCTCTCATGCACATCGCTGGATCGGGCTCAGGTAAGTATTGGGGGGAGGGGGCTGCAGGGAGAGCTGCATACTTGAGGTTTTTTTTACATTCATGCATAATTGTAGACAACCCTTCAGGCTTTACAAGCACTTTAATTATATTGTTCAGTATACGAATTCCTCCTTCTTGTTTTCACATACCAAACAAACTATTCAGAAAAAGTGGCCGAGGTTAGGGCAGACTATAGCAATGGCTTGAGGTTGTCTTGTCACCCCAGTGTTTAGAGACACCCTTCTTATATTGTCCGTATCTTTTTTTGCCCCTCTTGATCACCTGTTTGTGCTCCCTGGCAGATGAGAGAGAAGATGAGCCTGGAAGTGCCGTTACCCGGGTCTCTGGAGTTGACCGATCTTGGGAAATTTCTGATGTCAAGTGAGGTGAGTTCTGATCCAGGTGGGCAGACTGTTTAATTTCTGAGTTCTCCAAGATGAATCTCTAAGGCCTGCATCACACGGGCTTCAGCTTGTGTAAGAGCAGTGTGAACAGCAAGCTTTGACAAAGTATTTGCAGGGCTTTTAGCTTTCTTGAAGCTTTTAAAGTACCATGCAGCTCCAGTTTGTAAATGTTGAACGCAGATCCTAATGGTAGTGCTAATTGCCACTTTAGACAAGCTGCTAGCGGGCTTTTAGCAAGCTTCAAGAAGTTCTGAAGCCTGGTAGCAGATTGTTTAAAGTGGCAATCAGCACTCCCACTGACTTCAGCATTTACAAACTGGAGCTGAGTGGTACTTTAAACCGCCTTCCGCCCGCCATATAGTACAATGACGGGCGCAAGGTGGTTCCCTCGTTCTGGGAGGACGTAATATGACGTCTTCCCATTCTCACTGCGCATGTGCGGCTCCAGGAGCGCGGCGATCGGTAGTGCGCTGTGTCCCTCGGACACAGTGGATCACCGATCTACAGAAAGAGCCGAAGATGTTGGCTCGGTCGTGTGATCAGCTGTGTCCAATCACAGCTGATCACATGTAAACAGGGAAATGCCGGTTATCTGCATTTCTCTACTCACGAGCTGTCATGCTGACAGAAGAGAGGAGAGGAGAGCCGGTAATCGTCATTCCTCGGAGGGGACATCTACACTGATCATCAGAGCACTGATGATCAGTGTAGCCCCAGCAGTGCCACCTGTCAGTGTCCAGCAGTGCCTCGTGTCAGTGCCAGCTGTCAGTGCTCATCAGTGCCACATATCAGTGCCCATCTGAGCTGCCTTTCAGTGCCACCTATCAGTGCTGCCTGTCAGTGCCGCCTGTCAGTGTGCATCAGTGCCAGTCAGTGCCATATGAGTGCTGCCTTTCAGTGCCCATCAGTGATGCCTGTCAATGCCTATCAGTGCCACCTACCAGTGCCTCCTCATCAGTGCCACCTATCAGTGCCCATCACTGCAGCCTCATTAGCGCACATCAGCGCTGCAGCACATTAGCGCACATACCACCAAAATAAAGCTCTGATCTTTCACAAAAAAATTATTTCATATGGGTACAGTGTTGCATGACCGCGTAATTGTCATTCAAAGTGTGACAGCGCTGAAAGCTGGAAATTGGCCTGGGCAGGAAAGGGGTATAAGTACCCGGTAGGCAGGAAGGGGGTATAAGTGCCCGGTAGGCAGGAAGGGGGTATAAGTGCCCGGTAGGCAGGAAGGGGGTATAAGTGCCCGATAGGCAGGAAGGGGTAGAAGTGCCCTGTAGGCAGGAAGGGGGTAGAAGTGCCCTGTAGGCAGGAAGGGGGTAGAAGTGCCCGGTAGGCAGGAAGGGGGTAGAAGTGCCGGTAGGCAGGAAGGGGGTAGAAGTGCCCGGTAGGCAGGAAGGGGGTAGAAGTGCCCCGGTAGGCAGGAAGGGGGTAGAAGTGCCCGGTGGGCAGGAAGGGGGTAGAAGTGCCCGATAGGCAGGAAGGGGGTAGAAGTGCTCGGTGGGCAGGAAGGGGGTAGAAGTGCCCGGTAGGCAGGAAGGGGGTAGAAGTGCCCGGTGGGCAGGAAGGGGGTAGAAGTGCTCGGTGGGCAGGAAGGGGGTAGAAGTGCCCGATAGGCAGGAAGGGGGTAGAAGTGCCCGGTGGGCAGGAAGGGGGTAGAAGTGCCCGGTGGGCAGGAAGGGGGTAGAAGTGCCCGGTAGGCAGGAAGGGGTAGATTTTTTTTTTGTTGTGCCCGATAGGCTAGTGGTTAAAAGCTTCAACAAAGCTAAAAGCCCTGCAAATACTTTGTCAAAGCTCGCTGTTCACACTGCTCTTCTACAAGCTTTCAAGCCCGTGTGAGCAACAGGTCTTACAGTCTAGTACAGCGGTTCTCAACCTGGGGGTCGCGACCCCTTTGGGGGTGTCGAACGACCATTTCCCAGGGTCGCCTAAGACCATCGGAAAAACACATATTTCCGATGGTCTTAGGAACCGAGACACCGCTCTGTGTCTCAGGCGATCTGTGGGCGGGATGATATGCTGCCCCTGTAACCTGGCCGCACCTCCGGGATCACTCAACAGCTCCGCCTCCTCGCCGCTGATTGGCCACCGGAACTGTAGCTCAGGAGAGGCACACAGGCGGCCAATCACCGGCGAGGAGGTGGAGCTTAGAGATGAGGAGCCGAGCGGCAGCGCGCGGAGATCAAAGAAGATCGAGGGAGCTGCAGGAGCGAGTGAAGAGAGAGGCCAGAGAAGGAAGACAGCTGACAGGGTAAGTGCAAATTTTGCTGCTGCAGCCAGGTATGCAGGCTGTAGATGGGAGAGGGAGAGAGCCCAGGCTGGAGCAGGGGTCAGCAAGGTAAGTATCATTGGTGTCAGTGGGAGGGATAGTGCCCCATCATTTGTGTCACTAATACCAACGATGGGGCGCTATTCCTCCCCCCACTGACACCAACGATGGGGCGCTATTCCTCCCCCACTGACACCAACGATGGGCGCGCTATTCCTCCCCCACTGACACCAACGATGGGGCGCTATTCCTCCCCCACTGACACCAACGCTGGGGCGCTATTCCTCCCCCCACTGACACCAACGCTGGGGCGCTATTCCTCCCCCACTGACACCAACGCTGGGGCGCTATTCCTCCCCCACTGACACCAACGCTGGGGCGCTATTCCTCCCCCCACTGACACCAACGCTGGGGCGCTATTCCTCCCCCACTGACACCAACGCTGGGGCGCTATTCCTCCCCCACTGACACCAACGCTGGGGCGCTATCCTCCCCCACTGACACCAACGCTGGGGCGCTATTCCTCCCCCACTGACACCAACGCTGGGGCGCTATTCCTCCCCCACTGACACCAACGCTGGGGCGCTATTCCTCCCCACTGACACCAACGCTGGGGCGCTATTCCTCCCCCACTGACACCAACGCTGGGGCGCTATTCCTCCCCCACTGACACCAACGCTGTGGGCGCTATTCCTCCCCCACTGACACCAACGCTGGGGCGCTATTCCTCCCCCACTGACACCAACGCTGGGGCGCTATTCCTCCCCCACTGACACCAACGCTGGGGCGCTATTCCTCCCCCACTGACACCAACGCTGGGGCGCTATTCCTCCCCCACTGACACCAACGCTGGGGCGCTATTCCTCCCCCACTGACACCAACGCTGGGGCGCTATTCCTCCCCCACTGACACCAACGCTGGGGCGCTATTCCTCCCCCACTGACACCAACGCTGGGGCGCTATTTCCCCCCCACTGACACCAACGCTGGGGCGCTATTCCTCCCCCACTGACACCAACGCTGGGGCGCTATTCCTCCCCCACTGACACCAACGCTGGGGCGCTATTCCTCCCCCACTGACACAACGCTGGGGCGCTATTCCTCCCCCACTGACACCAACGCTGGGGCGCTATTCCTCCTCCCCCACTGACACCAACGCTGGGGCGCTATTCCTCCCCCACTGACACCAACGCTGGGGCGCTATTCCTCCCCCACTGACACCAACGCTGGGGCGCTATTTCCTCCCCCACTGACACCAACGCTGGGGGCGCTATTCCTCCCCCACTGACACCAACGCTGGGGCGCTATTCCTCCCCCACTGACACCAACGCTGGGGCGCTAATTCCTCCCCCACTGACACCAACGCTGGGGCGCTATTCCTCCCCCACTGACACCAACGCTGGGGCGCTATTCCTCCCCACTGACACCAACGCTGGGGCGCTATTCCTCCCCCACTGACACCAACGCTGGGGCGCTATTCCTCCCCCACTGACACCAACGCTGGGGCGCTATTCCTCCCCCACTGACACCAACGCTGGGGCGCTATTCTCCCCCACTGACACCAACGTGGGGCGCTATTCCTCCCCCCACTGACACCAACGCTGGGGCGCTATTCCTCCCCCACTGACACCAACGCTGGGGCGCTATTCCTCCCCCACTGACACCAACGCTGGGCGCTATTCCTCCCCCACTGACACCAACGCTGGGGCGCTATTCCTCCCCCACTGACACCAACGCTGGGGCGCTATTCCTCCCCCACTGACACCAACGCTGGGGCGCTATTCCTCCCCCACTGACACCAACGCTGGGGCGCTATTCCTCCCCCACTGACACCAACGCTGGGGCGCTATTCCTCCCCCACTGACACCAACGCTGGGCGCTATTCCTCCCCCACTGACACCAACGCTGTGGGGCGCTATTCCTCCCCCACTGACACCAACGCTGGGGCGCTATTCACCTCCCCCCACTGACACCAACGCTGGGGCGCTATTCCTCCCCCACTGACACCAACGCTGGGGCGCTATTCCTCCCCCACTGACACCAACGCTGGGCGCTACCCCCACTGACACCAACGCTGGGGCGCTTTTCCTCCCCCACTGACACCAACGCTGGGGCGCTATTCCTCCCCCACTGACACCAACGCTGGGGCGCTATTCCTCCCCCACTGACACCAACGCTGGGGCGCTATTCCTCCCCCACTGACTGACACCAACGCTGCTATTCCTCCCCCACTGACACCAACGCTGGGGCGCTATTCCTCCCCCACTGACACCAACGCTGGGGCGCTATTCCTCCCCCACTGACACCAACGCTGGGGCGCTATTCCCCCCACTGACACCAACGCTGGGGCGCTATTCCTCCCCCACTGACACCAACGCTGGGGCGCTATTCCTCCCCCACTGACACCAACGCTGGGGGCGCTATTCCTCCCCACTGACACCAACGCTGGGGCGCTATTCCTCCCCCACTGACACCAACGCGTGGGGCGCTATTCCTCCCCCACTGACACCAACGCTGGGGCGCTATTCCTCCCCCACTGACACCAACGCTGGGGCGCTATTCCTCCCCCACTGACACCAACGCTGGGGCGCTATTCCTCCCCCACTGACACCAACGCTGGGGCGCTATTCCTCCCCCACTGACACCAACGCTGGGCGCTATTCCTCCCCCACTGACACCAACGCTGGGGCGCTATTCCTCCCCCACTG